GAAAACTCAAACAAGAAGCTGTTGAATATCTGACTTTGTATCACTGAAGAATTAGGGGTGGGTGATAATAAATAATTGCCCCCCTCTTTGAAGTCATATGATGCCCTAAATGTAACTAAAGCCCAGCAGTGAGGAGCTGAACTTTACCCTCCTCTGCTGTCACTGCAGACTGGCAGGGTCGCCTACAGAGCAGCACTGGTAGCTGTTAATGAAGTGATGCTCTTTTTATTTGAGGGTCCCATTTCAGAGGGAAGATTTCAACCAGTAACCATTGTAACTCAGTTCCAAGGGGCAAGGAGACACTTGAAAACAAGGGGTAGGGGTAAAAATGAGAAATGGGATTAGGCCTAAATATTCTGATTCTAATTCAGTAATTTTAATGTTGCTAATAAAGAGCTAAAGCCTTGCTGGTGTGCTCTCACCAGCAGATCCCCATTATTTCTTATATGTGTTAGCCACATCAGCATGTTTGTAGCATGTGTGTCTTCTCTCGTGCAGGTAAACACAACGGCACGGTGCAGGGCCGAGTGTACTTCCGCTGTGCTTCGGGCCACGGGCGTGTTCGTGAGGCCGGCGTTGCTCAGCAGGGTCCCTCCAGCCGTGGACACGGATCCACCACCACAGCCTGTGCTGCTATAGAGAAGCAATACACTCTTGTTATGGGACGGAAAGGTGGCTGACCCCGGAGAAGAGGACTCAGCGTTCTGTTCAAAATCCTGGAGAGGGAATTTGGTGGTTGTGTTGTCCTCCTTGAATACGTTGCTGTCTCTGTCATTCTCTCTGTATTGATGGACAAATCTGTGTATTTTTTAAACTACAGGACCGTTTCATCGTCATCCTTTTTTGAATGTCAAATGCACAGTTGCACAAATTTTATATCATCTTCTCTGTTGATTTTAGGCTCAAACTTCAAGCAAACTTCCATCGTTTTGGCTTATTTACCACTTCTAACACGACTGAATCTATAAATCGCGATATTTAGCTGATGATAGTGTCCCTTTAGGCTACGTTCACATTACCAGGTCGATCACATCCAATTTTTTGCCCTAATGTGACTCAGATCTGATGTTTTCAGAGCTGTGTGGACACAAATCTGATCTTTTCAAATCCTACCTGAGCCACTTTCATATGTGGTCCTAGATCGGATCCATATCCCATTCGTGGCCATGTGACCTTAATGTGATGCTCAGATCGGAATTCGTGTGCTTTTTTCTCCACTGCGCTGCACCATCATTCGGCGTTACCATGGCAGCAGCGCCGAACAGAAGTTAAAGCCTGTAAACGGTGGAGAAGCAGCTCATCTCACCTTTTTCTCCTTCGTCTCGCTCTAATAATGAAGCTGAGAGCTGATCAGAGTTAATTATCTTCTCAGCGAAGCTCGTTCTGCTCGTTAGTTTGTGCTGATGATGCACGTGATTCATTCACGTGACGTTACTGAGTAGGATGTGCTCATGTGGGTCATTTCAGGACACTGGTTCATCACATTAATGACAGATTTGAATCACTTACCTAAACGAGTGTGAACCATCGTGTCAGAGAGATCGGATTTGAGCAAAAAATCAGATTTGAGCAACGAGGCTCGTAATGTGAACGTAGCTTTAGTGAGGCTAAATATGGAAATCTATTGAAGTTGAGAATGTACTACTGTTATAATGTTCTTCGATCTTTGCGTGATTATATCAGGTGTTACCAAAGACATAGCATTTCAGATCTGCTGTTAAAACTGAACTATTTTGTACTATGTAGTGTAGAGTGTGTGTGTGTGTGTACAGGGTGAGTGGGACTGATTCTCGCTAAGTGCCATATCTCTGATTTAATGGCCACAAATGCATTGGAACTTTTAAGATTGTGGTAGATTTGGGGTTGTGATGCCTTTTAACAGCAAGCTGCCTTGGTTTCTGTTGCATTTTACCTGCTTTCTGAGTACTGTATCTGTACAGAGCCGAGCTTTTGGAGCTGTTTTCTTAACGCTTGCACTGGAGTGACTCGTCCTGGATGCACAATGAGTTCGTCAGACTCGCGGACGCCGAGTTTCGCGCCTTTTGAAACGCTCTGCCATGAGGCTTTTTCACACAGGTTTACATGAAGAGACCCAGACTGTGCGCTGTGGGAGGTAAAGCACCTTGGTGTCTGTTGAAGCCGAGGCAGTGAGATGCCTTAGGGGGGATCACACTGTACACTTGTTTTGCGGAACGAGGCGCTTAAAAAAGGCTTCGGTTTTATTTGAGGAATGAAAGAGATGCGTTTTGCTTTTTTGTGCTTTTTTACTGTATTAGCCTGTGTTAGATGTTAGTACGTTCTAGCAACAAGGAATCAAGTTAACATAAAGGTAGGATTCAGCAGCAGAACATCCCAGAAATCACTGCAGTCTGACATGATTCAGCTCTTAAACACAAAAGACGTTGAACAGAGTTCTTTATATGCCTTATTCAATATTTTTACATACTTAATATCTCAGAACTATAAAATTCAGTTCAAACTCACTCTTAAAAAAGATGATTTTTGTAAAGAAATGGTTCCAGATAGAACCATGAACGCTCAAAGAACTCTTTGCACGACTAAATGGTTCTTTGCATCATAAAAGAGTTCTTTAGATTGATGGTAAATTTGCATGAATGTGCGGTAGACGGTTCTATATAGAACCTTTTTGAAAAGGTTTCTAAATAGCACAGAAAAGGGTTCTTCTATTGTTACAAGCTTGGGTGCTATATAGAACCAATTTCAAAAAGGTTCTATATAGATCCATCTAAAGCACATTCTCTGTCAACCTGCAGAACCCTTTCATGATGCAAAGAACCCTTTAATCATGCAAAGGGTTCTATGAGTGTTCATGACTCTAACCACTTTCTTTATTAAAGAACCCTTGAAGAACCATCTTTTTGTGCCCTTTATGTAGCAAACTGCTACAGGACTACTGTTAGCTTCATTACTTTACTCTGCTAGCTTCCTAACTAGCATGCTAAGGGCAACTTAGCTAGCAACAACAGAAACAAGGGCCGTGCTCCGCTCCTCTCTGTCTGAAGGCGAAGATTTAGAGAGGCCGTTATTCATGTGACGCTCAGACTCGTCAAAAAATGGTCTGATGAAGTTTGTTTAGCTAGCTAGCTTACTTAGCTCACTGAGGCTAACAAAAACTATGCACCAGAGCTTATTAGCGTTCCGTCTGAGCGGAGTCCGACCAGCAAAGATCAAAATGATTATAACATAACCAGCAGAAGACTTGGAGTCTCGTCAGTCACAACTGCATATGAGTACATATTTCTATATTGTGGTCTGTTTACACAAAGTTAGGTTAGTTCATCATTTATGTTGAATTTATGTTGAAATTTTACGCTGCTGCACTGATGTTGAACCGTGTGCTGCACTGGGTCGGTATGACCAACAGGTCAAAACAAGCTCAAAACAAAGTGACCGCTGGGCCTGATTGGTGTTCTTGCTTTGTGCTTCTTTCATTTTGACATGTTACGTTTTTATACACACATAAACCAAAAGGAGCGACAGATTTCTCATAATGTAGTGGAGTAAAAAGTGAGATATTTGACTGTGAAATGTAGTGGAGTGAAAGTAAAAAGTCGCCCAAAATGGAAAAACTTCAGTAAAGTACAGATACAGGGAAAACTACTTAAGTACAGAAACGAATTACATTTACTTAGCTACTGTCCACCTCTGTGCATATCAGAACGATAGCTAGCTAGCTGTGCTAAAACAACCAATTAGCATTATAGTTGCTGAAAATTGTCCTAGGTGGACAGTAATGATGGTATTGTTGCTGAGCAACAAGGAGAGAGTAGTACAACCAATAGCAACCTTGTGTGGAGACCCAACATATTGTCATTTTTTTCTTTTTTATATATATTTTTTTTTCTTAGAGGTTGTGACCGCTAAATAGCGCGAGACCCATTTTATATGTTATAATCTTCATCGCTCTGCAATGATTTCTTGCGTATACATTTTGAAATGATAGCTGTGCCTCATGTTTTGTTCAACTAACTCGGAATTTCCCATCTCTGACTAGGAAAAGCAAGGAGAAAACCCCTCTTGAGAGGGAATTCCTACACGGAAAGTCAGGATGGAGTTTTTACTTAGCATATAAGGCCATTATCAACACAGCTGCTCACATCGTCATCAGTACTAGAACAGCTCTTCTCTACTGTTAAGTGAGATTGTAGTAGTATTTGACACTGTAACGCTCACGGTATTGAGATGATAAAATCATCATGAAGTTATCACTCATCACTAGCATTAGCTGGCTAGCTTGATGCAACACTCGCTTTCAAGGAGGCATCTGTGATTTTTCCCTCTTGGTAGCTGGAAAATGACATAATTCCGAGCTTCAGCTTCCCACTTTAGAGTTAAACCAAACAACAGTTAACAACATTGACCAACTAGCTTTATAGATGCTGAATTGACAGTTACCCTTGGCAAATGGGCAAAGTACAAGACACGGATTCAATACTGGTTTTAACAGGTCAGCATCTCATCCTTTCTCCGCAGGGGAATCCCTGACTCCATCATAAGAGCCATTCCATAACTTTATTAAGGGTGTTAGATGAGCCCCCAGAGAGGTGAGGAACCGACTGAACACAAGTGTCGACTGGAGAAATGATGCGTTTCCCTTTTCAAACCCGAAAATAACGAAACTAATAATAATCTGCACTAAAATGCCAAACATTGCTGAGCTTTAGGTAGCAAACTACACACTTAAAAAGATGGTTCTTTAAGGGTTCTTTATTAAAGAAAATGGTTGTATATGTAACCATGAACACTCACAGAACCCTTTGCATGATTAAAGGGTTCTTTGCATCGTGAAAACGTTCGTCAGATTAATGTAGAATGTGCTGTGAATTGTACTCTATTGCGCCCTTTTGAAATGGGTTCTATTTAGCACTAAAAAGGGTTCTTCTGTTGTTACAGGCTAACACCGTAACAGTAGAAGAAGCCTTTTTGGTGCTATATAGAACCCTTATCAAAAATCTGAAGAACGTTTTCACAATGCAAAGAACCCTTTAATCATGGAATCATGGAAAACCATTTTCTTTAATAAAGAACCCTGGTAGAACCATCTTTTTGAAGAGTGTACTCTGTTATACGTGACTGCTGATACAACTCGGCCACTTTAGTTAGCATGCTAATAGCACTGTTTAGCTATATGGCTAACAACAACAAAAAAGACTTTCCACCAATTCATATTCAGACAAAGCAGTTATTCAAAAATAAATATGTATGAAATGTTCAAACTTCTCAAAAAACATTTGGCATTGCAAAGTTTGCATGGCTAACAGGTTAGCTCACTGAGGCTAAGCTAACTGGGGTCTGTCCTGTTTGAGTAATCCGCTCCTCACTGTCCCCTCCTCCCCTTCTGGACATGTTGTGCTGTTGGATTGTAAGAGTGCACTGGATATTATCTGCAATGTGGTCAGATATCAAAAGTGGCAAAGGTCGCAAAGTGTCTGTATCCTCTGTAGTGAACAGAGCTTGATTTGAGACGGAGCCGAGAAACGGCAGTGCAGTGCCTGTATTTCAGCCCTCAGACAAATACAGTGTGATCCCCTTTTATTCCTGTTACTGAATCATGGGGCTTGCTCGGACTGCTCTATGCGTTTGGCCACTTTGCCAAGAAAATACTGTGCTGACCAGGACCCAAAACCCTGTGTATGACCGGCAGAACCATTTTAGTCTGTCAGTCCCTTTAAACTGTCACTCTTCTTCAACATCGCTGACTGCATTTCTTTTTTACCTGTGCGTGTGACTAATGAGTAATGTTTTGCTAGTTTGAGATACTCATGCAAATAAATGATTATATTTTCTATAACGGTTGGAAATAAGACGAACCGGGGGGACGGGCAACATCAGGGACCGCCAGAGACACACACTTCTGTTGTTCTGCTTCTGTTGCCTGAATAACTGTGGATGACTGAAGTGTATTTTAATGCTGTAATTGTGTGTGGAAGGAAAGAGACCCAGGCCCTTACTTTATAAAGACAACCAAGCTGCTCTCCTTCATGAGGAGTTGTACATAGAAATGTATTTGAACAAATATAATGTACAGAACTGTATTTATATTGTATCTCTACGAAATGTACAAAAAAATGGGTACAAAGATGTCCTAGAATACAGAACGTTTACAGTATGAAGGCGTCTCCTTTGGTGTCTGTGTTGTGTTTGCATGAGTCATCATTTTACAATAAGCTGAAATTACAAAGAGCAGTGAGCGGAAGCGCAGAGTGTCTAATAAAGTGGCCAGTTAGTGGAAGCTCAAGGTTGGTGTTTCTAATAAAGTGGCCAGTAAGATAAAGCACAAGGTGTGTTTCTAATAAAGTTATGTTTCTAATAAAGTGGCCAGTTAGTGGAAGCTCAAGGTGGGTGTTTCTAATAAAGTGGCCAGTTAGTGGAAGCTCAATGTGGGTGTTTCTAATAAAGTGGCCAATGGGTGGAAGCACTGGGGAGGTGTTTCTAATAAAGTGGCCAGATAGTGGAAGCACAGGGTGGGTGTTTCTAATAAAGTGGCCAGTTAGTGGAAGCTCAATGTGGTTGTTTCTAATAAAGTGGCCAGTTAGTGGAAGCACTGGGGAGGTGTTTCTAATAAAGTGGCCAGATAGTGGAAGCACACGGTGGGTGTTTCTAATAAAGTGGCCAGTGAGTGGAAGCACAGGGTGGGTGTTTCTAATAAAGTGGCCAGTTAGCGGAAGCTCAAGGTGGGTGTTTCTAATAAAGTGGCCAGATAGTGGAAGCATAGGGTGGGTGTTTCTAATAAAGTGGCCAGATAGTGGAAGCACGGGGTGGGTGTTTCTAATAAAGTGGTCAGTGAGTGTAAGCACAGGGGAGGTGTTTCTAATAAAGTGGCCAGTGAGTGGAAGCTCAAGGTAGGTGTTTCTAATAAAGTGGCCAGATAGTGGAAGCATAGGGTGGGTGTTTCTAATAAAGTGGCCAGATAGTCGAAGCTCAAGATAGGTATTTCTAATGAGTGGAAGCACTGGGGAGGTGTTTCTGAAAAGTGGCCAGTGAGTGGAAACACTGGGGAGGTGTTTCTAATAAAGTGGCCAGTCATTTTGCAGCGATAGCACAGGGGGGCGGGGCCTTAACACATTGCGGCAGAGCCAAACTGTCAAAGCAGTTGGCATGAAGTTTCACTGGTCTCACTTTCCGCACGCAGCTGCTTCAGAACAAGGCGTTTGTTGGTCTGCATGCCAGTTTGGTCACCAGAAGTCCGCGTGAGCTCAGCTTTTACCTCTAGGGTTTTGTCGGCTGGAGAAGTTTGAAGTTTGAAGCCTCTGTGGTCTGAGTGTGAAGATGCACTCGAACCAGAAGGACACGACCTACACCAAGCTCTTCGTTGGAGGCCTGCCGTACCACACCACTGACTCGAGCCTCAGGAAGTATTTCGAGGTGTTTGGGGACATTGATGAGGCTGTGGTCATCACGGACAGACAGACTGGGAAGTCCAGGGGCTACGGGTTTGTAAGTGGAGTTTTATTCCCGGCTCGAAAGAGCCATGAACTGTTCATGAACAATGATATAACTGTTAAGTAAAGCATTTAGGCTGAAGTAGACTAGACTGTACTAAATAACTTGAGTAAAGTAATGACTTAAGTAGCTACTTACAACAAACTTAAGTTAAAGAGTGAATCTCAGGTCCAAAAACTTAGGTACTGAGTGTAAAACTGCAGGAGAAATGACAATCTCCAGCTTCTAATTCGAATTTTCCGTTCCACCTTAAATGGTGCAGCAGTTACATTCTGGCGCCTCAGTCGTCAGACTATAACTGCTGCACCATTTAAGGTGGAGCGGAAAATTCGAATTAGAAGCTAACGAGTCAAATGCTAAAGGAGCAACAGTGGAAAATACTTAGGTAATTGTACTTTTCTACTATACTTAAACATTATTTTGGAGGATTTGCACTTTACTCGAGTATTATTTCCATTAAAAAACATACTTTTTACTTTTTATTTTTAATTTTACATTTTTATTCAGACCTGCTAGATACTTGTTTGAAACCTCAAAGACCAGATATTTGTCTTTTTTTATTTATCTCGTCACATTTTTCTGTTTTCAAATTAATATTCGTGTAAACATTTAATAATGATAAGGATTTTGACACAGCATAGTTTCTTTTAAAGGGACACTCCACCAAAATGAAAAATCTAACCATGGCTATGTCTGTTCTAAGCATGCTTGCTCGCCTCCTTCAGCGATTATAAAGTGATGTCTGAAAGTAGATTCTCCCCTTTTAAAGACTAGAAACCCCCTTCTGATGATGCGTATTGAAGGTGCAAGAAGCTACAATCATATTTGAGGTTCTTTTGGAAATGAATAAGGAGAAGATGCCGCTTTATTGACTCACCAGTGGGTTTTCATGTAACGGTGTAAACACAGAACTGGTTATTTGTGTTGCTCTGTTGTTTATGGACTATTCCACCAAATTATTTCACAAAAAAATACGATTTAAAAAAATAGTGAAGTGTTCAATGCGTAGATATGTACAATGATTGTGTTGTAGTAGTCTATTTAAACCCAAGGCATTAATAGAGATATTAATAAGCTAAATATATACAAAATCATCATTTATAGGGTGGTTTTTATAGATTTATCAAGGGTTTAATTTTTAAATAAGAAATTAGCAAAAAGTGCTGTGTCATATTTTCATGTCATTACCAAAACACAGAGTTAATGGGCGGAGCCTATTAACTATTGCATTTTAGAGCAGGAAGTGAGGCTGCATCCCTGTCCCTCGTGGCCACATGGTGAGCAGTTAGATCCCATTGTTTTGAAGCAAATGTGTCCCAAAGTCTGAAAATCAGTGTGGAACATTAAGAATCGTCATATTTTCTGCAGTTCAGCACTTTTTAGAGTTTTAATGTAAAATATGATGATTTTCTGTGTGAACAGCTGTTCAAAGCTGTGTTTGCTGAGTTTTTGAGGTCAAAATGAGCGAAATTTGTCATCGAAACAGTCACTACTGAAACAGTCACTACTGAAACAGTCACTACTGACACATTTGGTAAAGTTTACTAATGTTATGATTGTTTTACTAGTGAAAGGAATTTTCAGTCATTAATTTTAATAAAATAAACATAATTAAGGTTTAGGGTCACTCAGAGTCCAAGTCAGTTAAAAGTCCCAAATGTGTTTTTAACTCTGACCTGATTCGATTAAATGGCCCTTATATGAGCTGCACTGCTTCAAATTCCTCACAGTTGTACTGATAAATGAGATGATAAGTGTCTCTGTCCTGTTTGTGTGATCAGGTGACCATGGCTGACCGGCCTGCTGCAGAGAGAGCCTGTAAAGACCCCAACCCCATCATAGACGGCAGGAAAGCCAACGTTAACCTGGCCTACCTGGGGGCAAAGCCACGGATCCTACAGCCAGGTATCAGACGTTTGTTTAATGTTTGTTTTGGAAATAAATTCATTTGTAAGCAGAGAGATGTGCAGCCTGAAGACATACACCCTTAAAAATTGGTTCTTCAAGGGTTCTTTCGTAAACACAGTGGTTCTATATAGAGCCTTGGACAGTCGAGGAAACATTTGCATGATTGAAGGGGTCTTTGCACGGTGAAATCGTTCTTCACATTGACTGAAAAAATGTGTTGTACATGGTTCTATATAGAACATTTTTGGAAAGTGTTCTATGTAGCACCAAAAAGGGTTCTTCCATTGTTATTATGTTAAACTTGTAACAGTAGAAGAACCCTTTTTGGGGCTATACAGAACCATATACAACACATTCTCCATCCCATCAATCTGAAGAACGATTTCACCATGTAAAGAACCGTTTAATCATGCAAATTGTTCTTTGAGTGTTCTTAGTTCTATATAGAACCACTGTGTTTACTAAAGAACCTTTGAAGAACCAGCTTTTTAAGTGTACTCAGGTAATCTTATTGCTGCCTCATTGCAATAACGACAGCATCTAAAGTAGCAGCTCAAAAAACAACTATAATATCCTACATTTGATATCTGATATATGTAAATGAGCTCTGTTTTTATTGGCTGCTGTGTTGTGCCTTATTCAGAAAGCACTCGGAGTTGAAACACTGTTTAGAACCTCAGTGTTAGTGTGCCTCACAGCAACAGTGAATTAAAAACAGGCTGTTGTTTGCAGCTTAGTTTCCATATATGGACTGTACAGACTAGCTGTTCCATAAATTGGACAGCGTTTAAATATTACTTCAAACTCCTTTATTTCAGAAAAGTGATGGAAATTTGGTTTTCCATGATAAGAGGCCTTCAAATATGGCATTGTTCTGGAAATTTTAATGCTTAATTTCTGTTTACCTAGGTTAACATATTGGAAAAATACTTAATAATAATATACTAAAATATACAGTTTGCTCGAACTTTTTCACATTTTATGTTTAATTTTTTCCCCAAATATATCAAATTCAGTAAATGAGCAGTAACTGTGCATTAAAATGTGCAGAAGCGGTTTCTCTGTAGAGGGTGTGTTTACTTATTTTCATTTAGAAAATCAGCAGATGTATGTCATTTCACCAGGGGCGCCCAAACTTTTGCATAAGACTGTATATGTAAATAAGCTCTGTTATGATTGGCTTGTCTTGTTCAAAAAGCAATCCGAGTGGTAGCACTACTTCGATGTGAGTGGGTGGGGCTAAACTACTGTACTCTTTTATTTAAAGGAAATTTGGGCACTTTTAATGAATGTAACTGATGTGATTATAATAGTAAAGCTTTGTTTTTTGCCATTAAAATGTTCATAGAGTAAATTTATGTCAGTCTGAATGATCCAATTATTACTCACTTTAGTATTCATATTTTCCCTGGTAACAAATTTGAAGCATTTGTGAATAAATCTTTAGATCAGCTTTTCACTGACACTGTAAATCAGACATAATACACAGCGCAGTCATCACTGAGTGCTACTGTATTATCATTATTATGATTATTATTATTACGAGATGAATCCGTTTTTTGTGTGCTTTTCTCAGGTTTCTCATTCAGCGTCCCTCAGATACATCCAGCTTTTCTCCAAAGGCCTTATGGGTAAGCAGCATCACTATTCAAATACACATCAGTGCTGCAAATGGATATTTACTGCTTTATCATTCATGTTTTAATGTAATATTATTCTGCAAAAGGCTTTGTGTCACTCAGCCTTTCAGACTGTATCTCAAAACATTAAAGGAAATTTACGAGTCTCCAAACATTCTGCAAGCATCCAGTGACAGTAGAGAGAGAGAGAGAGAGAGAGAGAGAGAGCCTTCTCTTTAATTGAGGCCACACCTTACAGTCATTTTACCACAGTTAAAGGGGAATTCCACCAGTTTTTGCAAATTTTCTGCATAATTCAGTGTGTAAGGTGTAATCAGAGAGATTCAGAGTGGTTTGGTGTGAAATGGTTCAGATGTCTTTACAGTGGTGGTGATAGGAACCAGGGGTCGCCATGACGACAATACAAATATAGACATTTTAACCTACACGAGTCTTCTGAGTTTATATGGAATGTTGATGATGGGGAAAAAAAATATATATTTTCTTTGGGGACTACTTTGCTTCACAACAACCTGCAGGTAAAAATATTTTAGGCCAAAATATTCCAAACTACTGTAAAACAGTGTCTCAGACCTCAGGCAGTGAATTCATAACCACTTTATGTAATAACTATGTGTCATCATGTCATTTACACGTCATTGTGTGACTCAGAAAATGGATATTTATGTGGTTTAACGTTCATATTTATTCCTGTTTCATGTGACATGAAGTCTTCTGCATTTTCATGATAAACTGTCTCAAACTGCTTCACCTGAATGTCTTTGAATAGAGAAAACTGTACAGCTCTGCTAATTTAATAAAATGCCGTTGTTTTCTTTGTGTTGTAGAGACAGTGATGATGATCAGACCCCATTACAGTTACAGTACACCGCCCCATTCCGCCAGCTCACAAGGTGTGTGTATGTGGGTGTGTGTGTGTTTGGTTTGGTTTGTTTTTTTTGCTGTTTTTAGTTTATAAGGGTGGGACATTATTGTTATTGTGATACATAACATGACAATACGCTTTTCTGATGGATGTCATCAGTACTTCCATAGAAATAGCAGATTCAGACCAATGATGGTGATGGTGGCCGACTCCATGATTTGGGGTGCCATTTAGCTCTGGTATCTCTTAAATTAAACTCATGATGATTTTTTTTTTAATCATTTTTCAACATTGAATCTAGCTTTTTTTGGCAGGTGGGGAAGCGAGGGGGTGTCATCAAAATATACGTAAGATATCAATCAGTCAGTCCATCAATAAATGCATGAATCTAGTTTATTTCCTGCAGTTAAATTAATATAGCAGTTATTAAAGCTAAGAGCTGAAACTGACTGTTATTTCTTGGCATTTCTTTACATCCGGGTCACCAACCTTATTTGAAAAAGCTGAAAGACTGAAAATGATCTCAGGAATATGGTTTCTTTGCTGATAGTGGCTTGAAGGAATTTTTCACCATCCATACTTATCACAAGAGGACTTTAAGGGCACTAATGATTTACTTATAGCTGCACTATGTACGTTTTGGGGATTTGGAGACCCCTCTGGTGGAAACTTGTAACTGCGTGCAACATGCAGAAGAACCTTTAGTAGTGTGGGTTGTGCCTCTGACCCCTTCCTCGAGTCGATTAATCTGCTAATTGTGTAAGAATTCAAAGAGAACTCAGTGTAAACTTGGTGAAGGAGCGTCTTCTGAGGATGTGACTGAATTATCCACTATTGTCATCATATCTTCATCAGTATGTTTGAGATAATTTGAGGTCCAAACATCGAGCTGGACCCTTCTTTTTGAATGTGTGTGATGTTAAAGCGTAAAGACGTACGATGTGGTGTGAAAAACTCCCGACCCTGACGCCTCTGACTTTTAAATGATTATGTCAGGCTTTACAGGCCGACTCACAGCATTGGAACATTTGTTGTTAAAACTGACCCTCTGATGGTCCGGTGTGTGACTGTGTGTGAGCAGCTGTGGCTCAAACTCTGCTTTTTCTCGCGCCACAGAGCGACAGGTGGGCTGGAGGCTGAAGGATCACAAAGCCGCTTTATTTAGCCCTGAACTTTAAACACCGTGGATTGTTCAGGTCACCTCTGAGAAAAGAGAGGGAGACAGAGTGAAAATGCATTTTAATGACCTAAATATAATTATAATATAAATAAATATGATTCAACTGCGTAAATATTAAATTATTTTACTATATTATTTTTTTGTTTTTGTCAAAGTAAAATTTTACGTTGAATCTTTTCCTGAAGAATTATAATAAAATCAGGGTCAGATTTCGAGGTCTGTAACACTGCTGTTCTGGATTAAGTTTGGAAACACTCATCATATTATATATTATATATATTATTAACTTATTTTATATACAGTTTTATATGAATTACATTTAACTTTTACCAATTCTAAAAAGGTATTTATTTTTCAATCATAAAATTTAAAAATATTTTGGAACAAAAAGTTACTATGTAATGTATGTAAATATGAGGCATCCTGGATATAAATTTTACTGTATATGTATATAATTTCACTGTATATGACCATTTATAAATGTTCTTGATATAAGTTCATACTTGATTCGGGATGTTAATTTTATTAGAACTTCATTCTGGATATTAATTTTATTGGAAATTTATGTTTGGATATTGTTTATTAGAACCTCACTCTGGATATTAATTTTATTAAGACTAATTCTGGGGGTCAATTTCATAAGAACCTCATTCTGAACATAAATTTTATTAGAACTTAATTTTTGATGTTTTACAGCTTTCTCAGTTATATTAATCTTCCACAGGCCTGTTCATCATTCTGCAGATATCAAACTCTTTCTTTTTTCATTTTACTGGTCTGACCTGTGTGCAGTTACGGGGTGAAGGCGTTAGAGTCTGTACAGTGTGTATATGGAGCTCAGTATGGGGGGGTATTTTTAACCCTGGAATGCACAGATGGGATTTGGGTTTCTGTTATTGCACATTAGAGTTCAGCCCCGAACTCCACAACACACTGTTACTCATGTGGAGGCTTTCAGTCTGCCGCTGTTTATGAGTTGTGCTGCTTTCGCATGTTTGTGTCGAAAAAAAAATAATTTTGCCCCTCGTAGTGGTTTATGGGCAACGGTGACATGAAGCCATGGAAATGTTGGCACGGTGAACTGGTAAAAACGGATGATTATTAGAGGAGAACTTTATCAGTGTTGATTGTTTAAAGGTGGAGAAAGTCAAGACAACACTTTACTCTTTTATTTTGTTGCATAGTCCTGAGTTTGTCTGGAATTTGAGATGTTTGGTATGCATGGCTCCCAAAAAAATATTTTTTTATTACACCACTGTGGTTGATCTCAAAAGTTGGGAAAATTGACCTCTTTACAGATCATTCTGTTTACTGTTGCGGTCTGCGGAACGTTGCCACTTGCAGTAGCAGAATTTTCTGTCTCTCCTCCATTGAAAACAATGGAATATCCGATTTGCCATCATCCGTCTACCATTTACACACATGAACTCAGCACGAATAATGCTGTAGTTATATACTGAATTATTGAAATATCCTGTGCAGTATTTAATTCACGTGAATTCAGACAGATCTAGACTGGAATTAGAATGTTTTAGGGTAGTGAATGTATCCAATCTAAGCCAGCAGAGAAAAAACATGGTCAGCGCTGGATAGTTTAATTAAAATTACTAAAAATGTTTAGCTCCCTTAGTCAAATGGTTGAGAAAAGCCAGCAGAACGAGCCTCAGAGCTTCACCCCAGGGAATAAAGAGAGGCCAGCAGTGTTCTTTAAATTAATGTTTCTGTTTGGAGCTGCACTATGTAAGTTTTGGGGATTTAGAGACATCTCTGGTGGAAATATGTAATTGCATGCAACGTCCAGTAGAATCATTTGTAACTTGGTTTATGCTTCACAGCACTTCTACATACAGATGAATGTAATGAATGAGGGCGTTGAAAGAGAATTCAAAGAGAACTCAGTAAAGGATGCGTCTTTTGAGGATGTACCCCCTGGGAAACCATAGCAACTGCTCAGCAACAACCTAGAAACCCCTGGGATACCATAACAACTGCCTAGCAACACCATAGCAACCCCCTGGGATACCATAGCAACTACCCAGCAACACCCTAGCAACTACCTGGGATACCATAGTGACTGCCCAGCAACACCCTAGCCACCCCCTGGGATACCTTAGCACCCACCTAGCAACAATCTTGGCAACTACTTGGGATAGCATAGCAATGACCTAGCTACACTTTTGTAACCACCTGGGATACCATAACAACCACCTAGCAACACATTAGCAACCACCTAACAACCACCAAGCAATGCCTTAACAACAAGCTAAAATACCATAGCAACCTCGTAGCAATACCATAGCAACCTGGAATCACTACATAAACCTGAAGGTGTTGTCAAAAACAATCTACACTGTTCTGCAACTGCCTTAACTCTTTAAGCGCTATTAGCTGGTTTTGTCAAGCCAACTTAAAGTTCGCTCACGTTTCTAATCTACTGTTGTCGTATCTTCATCAGTATAGTGTTGTTTTTCAGATCATTTGAGACGTAAACATCGAGCTTCTTTTTGAGTCTGTGTGTGATTTTAACGTATAAAGACGTACGACGTGGTGTAAAAACTGACCCGACGTCTCTGACTTGAATATTTCGAGCGTTACAGGGCGACTCGTAGCAGGGCAAACTCACCATATCTTAGAGTTTTCTTTTTTCCTCCGACTCAGTGAGTGTGTTTACATGCATTCAGTAATCCGATCAGTTATTCAAATGGTCATGTTAACACCATACTCCGATCTAGAAATCCAACTAAGAAATCTGATAAAGAGGCTGGATTTTAGCTCAGTAATCAGATTTCTCAGTGCATGTGAACTCTTACTCTGATTTCTTTCGCGAGATGCAGCAAAACACTTTTGGAGTGACGCTGAAACCAAATACCTGCTTGATGAAATGAAGAATTTAAATTTTCTTCATCTTCTAGATGATGTTTGTTCATATTTTCAGGTAAAGTGTCGCGATGTTAAAAAAAAGAAGCTGCGGCCTGAAGTTTGAGTTTTACATCATGTCTTCTTCTGTGAGTTTATTGGCTGGTTGCAAAGCAGAAATCTGATGACTGTCTGACTCATGTCGACCCGTAGTTTCCCCATTATCTGATTACTCAAAGGCATGTAAATGTTTTCATCGGATTACTGACAAAATCTGATTTCCTGCAGTTATCGGATTATTAAGTGCATCTAAACGCACTCCGCAATGAAACTTCTTTCAATTAAAAAAAAACAGATAGTGCAGCTTTAAAACCAAGTAAAATAACAATGGGGTGAGTTTGTGCTGTTAAGTCTTCAGAGAAGATAATAAAGGAGGTCAGATCACACTGCAGCCCACCCTGCCGCTCACACAGAGAGTGTAGAGAGTGTGTTCCAGTCCACTGTGAGCTCCTCCACCTGTCGCCCTGCTCTGAGTGTTACACTGACGCTCAGCTGTTCTGATGAGGTGAGACGTGCTGAAATGTGAGTCTGCGTGTGTGTGTTGGCGGGGTGGGGGTGGTGGGGGGGCCGTCTGTGCATTTTTTTATTGAACTCCATTTGTACGTTAATATACAAACATGCATTTTAGTAGGTTTTTTGGGCCTAAAACTTTAAATCAAAGCTACCCAGTGTGCTGTGCTTCACGTACAGGATATGTAAATCACAGAGTTGGCCTGTAAAGATGTTTGATTGGGCTCATCAGATACCCCATCACCCATTGGCCCTTGTTAATTAAAGTTATCGCTGCTGTCGGAAGAAAACCTCGTATCTCCAAAATGGTAACTTTATAGGAGAAGGAAAAAACATACTTTACTTTTAATGTAAGTCAATGGAACCAGAGTTATTTCCGAGCAGTTTTGGGCCGTTTCTTTTCGTCCATTTATCCTGAAATTTACACACAATATAAAGGACAGGCATTTTCAAATTATGATAAAAACAGAAAACAACAAAAATGGAGATGCAAGGTTTCCTTCTGACACCTGCGATATATAAAATGTGCAGATTTAACCACCTTTACAACTACTTTACGTCTGATTCATGAAATTTTCATACAACGTGGAAACAACAGCGATTTTCGTGCCCTAATTCATGCAGTTGTTTCTGTAGCGAGCCAATAAAACAACAGTATCAGCAGCTTGTGAGCCAGTGGCTGTGCTGGTAGGTGGAGTTTGAGGTCAGGGAGTGCAGTGCTCCCCCTACTGACCAACCTTTGTGTTCAAATTGTGACGACTGGAAAGAGTAAAATGTGAAATAAACAAAACGTTGTTAGTGTTTTTAAGACAGTAGAATTATATCATTGTGTAAAATGACGTATTTAATTGCTATGTTATTGCAGTTTATGACACTAGCTGTGTTTTGTGTTGTTTATTTTGTGGGCGGAGTCAGTATTATAAAACGAGCTCAGTGTTAAAATGTCTTTAAATGGAACACGGAATAGTTGCAGCATTTGCTTAGTTTCTATTTACATTCTTATTAATGTTATTATAGATGTTTTGGTTATTTAACCATAAAATCAAACATTTTTTTTTCCAGATTGTTAAACTATTACACTCAAATTTACATGCACTACTACCAGTTATGAGTCTGATCGTACAGATACGGTTGAAATTGATTAATATCAAAATTGGCATGTGCTCATTTTGTGATGAGATTCAGAACCATTAGCCTACTGTGTTTTGCACACAGAGGAATTAGACCTCCACATTTAACCCATCCGTGCAGTGAAACACCCACGTACATGCACACTAGTGAACACACACACTGGGGGGCAGTGAGCACACTTGCCCGGAGCGGTGGGCAGCCCTATCCGCCGTGCCCGGGGAGCAATCGGGGGGGTTAGGTGCCTTGCTCAAGGGCACTTCGGTCACGTACTGTCGGCTGAGGGGAGCAAACCGGCGACCTTCCGGTCACAAGGCTGGTTCCCTAACCTCCAGCCTACGACTGCCCGTTAGATATCTAATATCTAGATATCTAATAGCATGCTAGCTTAGCCGTACAAATATATAATTATAGAGTATGAGGTATTTAGGTAAATGAACAGTAGCATTTTTGTATTTCCAGCATATATGTACTGTAGAAATTTGCACTCTGGAGGAAGTGTCTGCACTGTTACAATAATGCTAACATCAACTAGCTATGGGATCCAGTCTCTATGGGATGTGCAGTGTCTTGTTAGCATAATGCCAACATTGTCCACGTTGAGTTTAATGCCATACAGCCTGAGCTTGAACACTGACTTTCAGAGCTTGTAAGACATTCATGTAACATATTTTTACTTTGTATATTGCAGCTTAAATCTTTTAGTAAATACTTTAACTTACAATCAAAATTTGAGTATTTATTGAAGTCCTTGTAGGAAAGTCTGTCCCCTTGATGGCCATCTTGGCAACAACTCTTCCACTTACACAAGGCTCGGCTTCCCTCTCTTTAAATGGGGGGAAAACTTTAAATCCTGAGCTAAAAGCCAAATCATCGTTTCAAAAGCAGATCACTGTCCAAATCTGACCAAGACAGCTCACAAAAATAGTTTGTAGTGTTTGGTTCAAAGACCCAGAGAACTTGTAGAGAGGAGAATTACCACTCTGTAATGTCTTCCGGGTTTCTCAAACACTAGAGGGCGCTCCCGAGCAAGTCCAAAATGCATGGGTTAATAATGAGCATTTGAGCAAAACCACAGTTTATAAATGCTTAAACATTTTTAATGTAGAAGAATACAATAATTTCCTGAACACTGAACAACATAAAACATTTGAACACTGCTGTTATATTTTAATGAGCTTTTAAACTCGAGTTCTAAACATTTAAAATGGCGCCTTATGTACGTTCATGATGTCAGTGAGCGCGAACAGCCAATGAGCTGCTCCGCTCGCCAGCCAATCAGCACTCAGTAGCAGTAATGTTAGCGTCCTGCTGCCCAAAACCCGTTTGCTGTAGAATAAAGGAAACATACAGGTGAGTTTTCTTTACTTTTTTAGTGAAATCCATCCTTCTGCTTTCTAAAACTAAAGGAAAGTTCTGGGCGAGAGATTAGAAACTATTTTAACTTTTCGTTTTTAGCTGTTTAGCTCCATTCACTCCCATTCACTGGGGACTCACTCGCAGGCGCCCTCTGCTGTTTTGCAGTCCTGTTTTTGATATAATAAGGGAAATAGGAAGTGGCCAGACTCCTTGTAAACTGGCTCTGCAAATAACACATCGCATTCACAGATCTCCGCAGCGGGGGAGGGATTTTCCCATTTGAGGTTTAACCAGCTAACGGATCGGCTCATTTATTGAAGGGTGGGAATTTCTGCATATACAGACGCCATGTTGAGCGTGACAGACTTTCCCACTCATTGTCCAACCAGTGACCCGTCTCCTCCTTTAGAACGTCTCTGCTATTATTAGAGCAGCCTGTCAGCCCTGGAAAGAATATGTGTTTGTATTTTTAAAAAACTGAAATGAAACATTTGATTCATTTATGAATTTCAACTATTTAAAATGTACTTAAAATGCAAATATGCAGAATTTTAAAACTGCTGTTATAATGCTCTTATTTCCTATGATGTGTATATAATATTCAGAAAAGAGGATATTATTGATTAGTAATACGCTGCTGTCTTATGTAGTCTTGTAAAAATATGACTGCTGTAAATAATCTGGCAACCCTGCTGCCTGTAAATTACTGTAAAGTAAAGTGATTTTTTTTACAGTGTGCTTGTTTAGTGAGTGGACAAATCATGAGTATGTTTGTGAAACTGTGTTACATTCCTGACCCCTGTGTTTGTATATTTCCCAGGATTCCTGCTCATTATGTATATCCTCAGGCCTTCGTCCAGCCCAGTGTGGTCATCCCTAACGTCCAACCTTCTGCTGCGTCCACCACCGCTGCTGCTGCGTCTCCGTTTCTGGACTACACAAGTGCTGCTGCTTACGCTCAGTACTCCACAGCCTATGACCAGTACCCGTACGCCGCCTCTCCTGCCGCAGGCTACCTCACCACGGCCGGCTACGGCTACGTCCAGCAGCCTGTAGCATCACCCGCACCAGCAGCAGCAGCAGTAGCAACGGCAGCGGCTGCAGCTTTTAGCCAATACCAACCACAGCAGCTACAGACTGACCGCATACAGTAGTGGAGAGAAGAGTCGGGCAGTTAAAGTGCATATAAAGTAAAAAGTGTCCCAGTTTCCACTCAAACCAAGATATCGAGCAGCCAAATGAGCTTTTTTAGTTTAGCGTTGGAGCTACAAGGCCAGTGTAGGTAACAAGTAATGGGAATTTATAGCTGTATACACCATGCTAACTGCATTAGCCTCAAACCATGTGCATTTATTAAGTAGTCTTGATTATGTGGTGTTTATAACAGTGATTTAGCCCATGCTGCTGTTTTTAGCTATGCTAATATACTTCAGTCCATGTTTATAGTGTTTACAGTGTTTAATACAGTATCAGGAACCACATAATCAGGTCTGTTAGCGATCACTGAACAGCTCCACACAGTTAGAGACAAATGCCGTTAGTTAGCGTGATGCTAATGTGTGGCTGTGAGCTGTTCATTATCTGTTAGCTACATTAGCCTCGTAGCTCCAGCACCAAACTAAAGAGGTAACTAACTTCAGACACCAAACACGTCTCGGCTGACCGACGACATTGGAGGTAAAAGGGTGAAACTGTGTTAATTCGATTTTGCGCTGTTTCGTCCTGCAGCCGGCGCTGAGTATGAAGGAAGGCTGCAGTCCAGCCAGAGAGCAGTGATGCTCACCGTGAAGAGAAATAAGCTTTTATCGGTAGCTGTTGTCTTTTGTGTTTGTGTTATTTAAAGTGTATTTAATAAGGCTAAATCTGCAAAACAGTAACTCGCATCATCCTCAACCGTGTCACCTCAGTGTGCTCTTTAAATCCAGTGCTGTGCAAACGTCTCAGGCCAAAATGATGATAATGATACGTACAGCCGTTTATCTGGGCAGTAAACATTCGGGTCATTCTACAGAAACGTCCATTTTTGTGTCCCTAGCGTTTACAGATATATGACACTTGAAAAACATGTTAGGGTTTCAGTTTATTAATATAAATAAATAATATAACTTATATAAGTTATTTTAACAATTACACCTTATTGAGCCTCAATTTAGCAGTATTGGTTTGTAAATCAATTATCTAGAATTCCAATCACCACAGAAGAGCTCGTCCCCACAGTCATGTGTGAAGGCTGAGGCCATATTTTGAAGTAAAAAACACATTTTTCTGCCATTTTAACTACAATAATCTGTACATGACTATGAAATATATGATTTAAATGACAAAGAAAACAAATAACAAATAAATATTATAAAATATATAATGAAAGTTCTCCAGGAGTCGTGTCACTGGTGTTACTGCGTAACAAAAAATCTCTTATTTTGAAATAAAAGTCACACTGATGACATCACTCGACTTCCTTTTACCTGTTTTCTGAGGATCTATGAAGAAAAGCTCATGGTGAGTCCACTGTGTCTCTCAGTTATCAGAGATTTTCTCATTTAGCTCATGATTTCATATGAAGCTTTTAGCTGAAGTCACTGGTGTGACTGACTTTATTCTGAGGTAACTGTGGAAAAATAGAATACAAATGGATTAAATGACATATTTTAGTGGATATTCTGTGATTGACAACATGTGGTTTGATGCTCTGTAGCAGTTATTTAGTAAAATGCATTTTTCATTATAAGTGTCTCTGGTGTAATAAAGGATTATGTGTAACACCAATGAGGATCAGTAACACCAGTGACTCCTATGGAGAGATAGAAAAGTGGACGTTTCTGTAGAATGACCCTTAAGAAGACACTAATATTAGAATAAATGGAAATAAAAATATATTGTGATTTGATGTAATTGTTTTAGCTTAGCATGTCCAGATCTTTCCTGGAGGAAGTCCAGTATTTACTGTTACTTGGTTTATCTCATCAGATCTTCATTGAATTAAGTCAGGTGATGGAATTGAACAAATCCATGTGATGCTGGAGCGCAGTGAGAAGTCAGGAGCCAAACCTGTGTTTCTATTAACCTGCACAACTTTACGGAAAACAGAACAATCTTATTCCTTTTTACTCTGTTTATATTTACATTTATTCTAATGTTATATAGTGTTTTTACAGGACCCAGATAGCGAGTATATATCGGTCCTCTGGATTGATAAGGTTGGCACCCCGCTGACTGTTTGCCACTGCAGGTCCACCCTCGGACCACCCAGATTACGGTCCTGCATACAAACTCTACCTAGTTTAATCTTCTCAAACAGATTTGAAATGCTCAGAGACTTTTATTTTGGAAAATAAGACAAATATTACAAACAACCAAGAGAAAAAATAATATAAGTGTCCTTATATAAAATGATTTTACATTAAATATTGTTGTAAAATTATTTACTAAACTAATTTACAGAGTATTATTAAAGAAAGGAAGGAAGGAAAAATAAGAAAATTAGACTGTGAGCAGATAATAAGCAATGATAAGTGAAATTTGGTCAAATATTCCACTTTACCGCAGGTGGGCCGCCCAGAAAATGCTGAGCAAAACACCAGTGGACCAGCAGCTTTGCCGTCAGCAGGCCAACAGTGGCCCAATATCCTCTTGCTATCAGGGGAAAACAGACTATAGCTTTGTCTTGTTTTTTTTTTTTTCACAGCCTAAGACTTTTGCACTGTATATTGTAAGATACATTACATTTAATATGCAGTACAGTAATCGCAATATAGTATTTTGTCCATACAGCCCTACTGTATACATCTAGGGTCGTCTAATGCTGCTGTGTGAGCAACACTAAAAAAAAGAGTAATTTTGCATTGTACATAAACAGCGTCCACACTCTGTGCTTTGTACTCACTTTATATCTTTGCGCTCAGAGTTTTAATACTGTATTTTATAGTTCATATTGCACACTGTTAGAGTTTTCACACTCTTTACCCACTTGCTCCCTGGCTGGTGTGCAGGTAGAGACTGTAGTTCATCTGTTGATGCACAGTTTGTGTTATTCAACAGTTAGTCCTTCATCAGTGGTCAGTTTCTGACCACAGAGCTGCTCTTGGCTGGATTTTTTTTGGGTGGTGGTCCACTCTCAACCTTGCAGAAACGTGGCTGTGTCTGATACACTCATACCAGCACCACACATGCTACCATGTCAGTGTTGCTGCTGTGCTGAGAATGGAGCATCAGCCAAGTGGTCAGAAACTGACCAGTGATAAATGGGGTAGAGGGTGGTAGTTTCTAATAAAGTGGCCAGTGAGTAGAAGCACGAAGTAGATGTTTCTAATAAAGTGGCCAGTTAGTGGAAGCACACGGTAGGTGTTTCTAATAAAGTGGCCTGTTAGTGGAAGTACAAGGTGGGTGTTTCTAATAAAGTGGCCAGTTAGTGGAAGTACAAGGTGGGTGTTTCTAATAAAGTGGCCAGTGAGTGTATGAACTGTATTAATATTTTAAATATTATAGTAGTGGATTAATTGGGTCTCTGAAATACACATTGAGTTCTGATGAGTTTGTGTATGGTCATGTCTTTTATACTACAGTACCTCTTGCTTTCAGGTTAAAGAAATATTAGCAGCCCTGATCACTGTCAGTATTAACGTTCTTGTACGTCTGTGTGCTGTTTGTCTCCAGTGTGTGATGAAGGTGGTTATGCTTTACAAATGCTGTTCAATTTTTATACCTGAACTTGAATTTATTATAAGATGAAGCTCTGGAAATAAAACTACATGTCGTTGTCTTGGAATCACATTTTTTCTGAGGATCCCATTTTTCAACATACTATTCTCTTTTATAGTTTACACAGAAATGAAAGACTAAATTATGGCTGTGATTCATTAAAATAAAAAGATAAACTGGAATTCATCCTTGTGTGGGTGGGAAATGTTTGGAATCCACCAAGATGTTTTTATTTCCAGAAATTTGTGAGGATTACTGTCCACCTCAGGTGTTCAGCCCTCCTTCACTTCCCCAACACTACCACTCGTCCACTTGGAATTGTACGTGCTGTAGGGGGCGCAGTTTTCACTTTTAAAATGCTCTTTTAGTTTACGTTGACCTAGTTTAAAGTAACGAGTTCAGTTAAATCAGTTACACAAAATGAAGTAAGATTTTGATGGATATCTCATTTTAAATGATGATACTTTCACCACTAGTGTATATTAGTGAGTACAGTAATCTGTTTCCCTCAGTTCCTTCTTAGTCATTAATGCTGAGCTTCTAATTCCTTTTTTAGGTTTAATATCATTCTGCTGTGCTGGTTCAGCTCCTGTTCTGCTTTGCTGTTGATCACTTGTCTCACTTTGCAGCTTTAGCATCTTATTTTAGACCAAAAATATCCCAAAAGAGAAGCATAGAGTCTAATAAACTTCCTGTACTGAGAGAAGCTGGATGGACTAAGAAGTTCCACTGCAGTTCTAGAGCACATTGTTGCTAGCCCACTTACACATTAAGGCCCAATCCCATTTCATCCCTTGCCCCTTACCCCACTCTAGAGGTAGGGTGTCCCGATTCTTGTTGAGATAGAGGGGTAGGGCGAAGTGTTGGGGCTACATGACCCTCCAAACGGAGGTTTTTCAGAGACTCCAAACAGAGAGTTATGAGAAAAAAAGAAAAACAGGCGAGACGGAGAACAAGAGACCAAAGAAACACACAAATGTGAGAATTTTCTCCATTAAAAATTACAATAATCACTGTATTATCTTAGTTTAATGTCATTTCAATGTATTTTGGTTCTTTTCTTCATAACAAGCGTAAATAGTATGCTAATAGTATGCTAATTTCCCGTTCCACCTTAAATAGTTCAGTAGTTCTGACGCCTGAAGCGCCAGAATGTAACTGCTGCACTATTTAAGGTGGAACGGGGAAATCTGAACAAGAATCTGGTGAATATCTGACTTCAGCTTCATATCACTGAAGAATTAGGGGTGGGTGATAATAAATAATTGCCCCCCTCTTTGAAGGCATATGATGTCCTAAATGTAACTAAAGCCCAGCAGTGAGGAGCTGAACTTTACCCTCCTCTGCTGTCACTGCAGACTGGCAGGGTCGCCTACAGAGCAGCGCTGGTAGCTGTTAATGAAGTAATGCTGTTTTTATTTGAGGGTCCCATATCAAAGGGAAGATTTCAACGTTGTAAGATGGCACTTGAAAACAAGCAGTAGGAGTAAAAATAAGAAATGGGACTGGGCCTAAATTTGCAATGAGAAGGCCTTTATTTGCCATTACATTCATAAAAAGTCATTTTTGTCTGGTTTTTCGGGGAAATTGGGCCCCAGAACTCTGTTCTTTTTCATCTATTTGACATTTACATCACAAAACATGGCCATATTAGTTATACCGAGTAGCACTGAATGCTAATGTGCGCTGTGAATACAACTACTGGTTCCAATTCTCTCTTAAATTTGAGCACTTTTAGTGGTTATTTCATCATGTCTGTGCCCTGAAATGGCTTTCTAGTGTTCTGAGATTTCAGGTGCATTTGAAATGTGTGCTAGTATTCATACTAACACTAAAGTGTAGTCTTAAAGGGCCCATATCCTACATTTTTCTTGCATTTTATCCCCAACCTGTAATTAAATTTTACATTACCCTTTTATAGCCTCTGTTTATCCCTTAGAACTAAACAGGCTGTTTTTGTGCCTTTAAGAGTGTTATATGTAAATGACCCCTGTTTTGATTGGCTGACCTGTATTGAGCCTCATTTGAAAAGCAGACTGAAGCTGAAACACTCCTTGTAACTTCAGCCTAAGGGGGTGGGGCTAAATTGCTGTAGGTTGGGTAGGTGGATATATGTAAATGTGTTGTTTTTTGTGACATCACAGAAACAGTGATTTCAAACCAGGCTGTTTTTGCAGCTTAGTTTCCATATATGGACTGGGAAGTGAACGATATTACATCAGACTCTTTTATTTTACAAAAGATAAAAAAGAAAATCAGTTTTCCGTGATATGGGCCCTTTAAAGCAGGACATTTTTAAATATGACAGTCATAGAAAATTCATATGAGATGCCATAATATGACTGTCCTATTTGGGTCAGCTGGCCTACAGAAACACCACACACAAGCATCAGTGTATTAAATATTGCTCTATTACTCAATTCTGTAGGGAGAGAGTCGGCATGTTTACAACAGATGTAGTGAGGGATACATTTTTAATTTTGGCTGGAGTTTCCCTTTAACCTTAGTGTCTCTCAGTCCTGCCCTTAGATCCCCCCTGCATAGTTTCCTTTATTTTGCTGCTCTAACACTCAATTTAAACCTTATTAAAAGCTTGAAATGAATAGCAAACGGCTTTCTACGGAGCCCCGCTGGTGACATCCTGTATAAATAAAAATAATACGTGGCCACGACTTAGTAAAGCGCGAGAACGAGATCCTAATGCGTGGACACGACTTAGTAAGCCGTGATCTTGTCCCCATACCTTACTAAATTATGGTCACGACTTAATCATCTCATTCCCATTCCTTACCAAGTCGTAGCCACGCATTAGGATCTCGTTCCCACGCATTATTTTTTTTTTATACGGTATGTCATCATCAGGCCTCCGTAGGCTTTCTATTGTACATAAGCGCGTTATTCTTTCATGCCCTATGTAGTGCACTACGTAGGGAGCACTTTCAAAGGATTGTCGCTAGAGGGCGCTGATTTGCGCTGCGAAGGACTGTTCGATTCCAGAAAATTTAGAGTCGACCCCGATTCTGATTCCGAGTGCCGGAGTCGATTCAATACAATAATAATGTTTCAATATAACTATCAGACAAAAATAAAGCTGAAATATTAAGCATATTTGATCTTTAACGAAGGAGATTTGTATAGCTAACGCTAGATAAATTAACCTTTACATTTTACGTCGTTTCCGCTTTTTCAGTTGTGGAAGGATTGGAGTCGACTCGCGATGAATCGATTTCTTTGGGCAGTCGACTCTAAGCTCTTGAGCTGTAGCGAATGAACGGTAGCGACGGTACTTTCTTATCAACATCCGAGCACCTGGAACGCGCTTTTAATCTCGTTTTTAATGTGAGGGACGATACGACTCTTCTTCTCCGGCTCCAGATAAAGCGAAAGTAGTAAGTTGTGCTCTAATAACGGCTTTCCTGGACGAAATAAACGCGCGTTTGCGCTCGAGCTGCGCTGTTTTGTGGCCGTAGGTTAGCCTTAGCTAACTTTTGTTATGAAGCTGAAGCTAAGCTTAGCTGAGGCCACGGCTCCGGGTGAAGGCGTAAACTAAACAAGATTACTGTTCAAATATGATTTTTTACGAGGATTAAACCTTTTAATATGTTTTAGGATAAGCCTAGGTTACCAAATGTGGCTGTATTGTTGGAAAAAAACGCATTTCTGATGAATTATTCTGACGAAGATTAAGTCAGCTTGTTCGAATTTTTCCGTTCCACCTTAAACGGTGCAGCAGTTACATTCGGGCGCCTGAGGTGGATTTTTTCCGTTCCACCTTAAACGGTGCAGCAGTTACATTCGGGCGCCTGAGGTGGAATGTTTTCGTTCCACCTTAAATGGTGCAGTGGTTACATTCGGGCGTCTGAGGTGGATTTTTTCCGTTCCACCTTAAATGGTGCAGCAGTTACATTCGGGCGCCTCAGCTGGCGGATAAAACTGTAACGTCACTCTGACGTTAGCTGATATGCTGGTTGGGTTTCACTCGTGTAACGTTATAGTGTAAACTGAGGCTCCTGGCCCGGCTCTTCGTTTTTGGGTCCAGTTTCCAAAAAGTACCGTCTGTTTTTTAAAAATTAGAAGACATAAAGTTTCTGTAAACACGGTATTTTTCTTGCTATGACTGTTATTATTTAAACTACCTTGCTCTCCCCTTATTTAAAGGGCCCATATTGTGGTAAACTGACTTTCCGTCACGCTTTTGTTGATGTGAAAGTGTTTCAGGTGGTACTGTTAAAGTTTCTGAACCTGCCCTTGAGTCTCTACACGGTACATGGAAGCTGAGCTGCAGAAACAACCCATTGTGTTTGTGATGTTTCTACACTCATTGTCAATTTTATCAGCTCCACTTACTATATAGGTGCACTTTGTAGTTCTACAGTTACAGACTGTAGTCCATCTGTTTCTCTGATACTTTGTTAGCCCCCTTTTACCCTGTTCTTCAGTGGTCAGGACCCCCATGGACCCTCACAGAGCAGGTACTATTTGGGTGGTGGATCATTCTCAGCACTGCAGTAACACTGATGTGGTGGTGGTGGTGGTGTGTTAGTGTGTGTTGTGCTGGTCTGAGTGGATCAGACACAGCAGTGCTTCTGGAGTTTTTAAACACTGTGTCCACTCACTGTCCACTCTATTAGACACTCCTACCTTGTCGGTCCACCTTGTAGATGTAAAGTCAGAGACGATAGCTCATCTGCTGCTGCACAGTTTGTGTTGGTCATCCTCTAGTCCTTCATCAGTGGTCACAGGATGCTGCCCACAGGACGCTGTTGGCTGGATGTGTTTGGTTCGCAGTCCAGCAGCACTGCTGTGTCTGATCCACTTGTACCAGCACAACACACACTAACGCACCACCACGTCAGTGTTACTGCAGTGCTGAGAATGATCCACCACCCAAATAGTACCTGCTCTGTGAGGGTCCATGGGGGTCCTGACCACTGAAGAACAGGGTAAAAGGGGGCTAACAAAGTATCAGAGAAACAGATGGACTACAGTCTGTAACTGTAGAACTGCACCGTGCTCCTATGTGGTCAGTGGAGCTGATAAAATGGATAGTGAGTGTAAAAGCAAGGATCGATGTATCCGCCTATTAAAGCCTACAGCCGTTTAGCTCCGCCCACACTGGGCTGCTTGAATGATGTACATTACAGGGCAGCCAATCAGGACAGCGCTTGTTTGCATATTTTTATCTTGAAGGCACAACTTCTATGAAAAGTTCAATAAGTTATGACTGTTTTTCGGTGCATGAAATGACACAAATATCACAAGTGGGCTTCATATAAAATAAGAAAATGCAGGAAAAATGCAGCACATGTTAAAATATTCATGAAGATTGTGTTTGGATTTAAGTATGCATTATTAATTAGTTGCAGTTTGTGGGAAAACAGATTGTTATGCAATATAATACAGTAATAAAGTTCTTAACCCCCCTGTGATCCTCAAATTTACTCACATCTATTATTCTTGAGGTCAGTGTGACCCCGGCAGGAGGGATGTTTTTTGAAGATTATAAAATTGCATGTTATACTGACCTCAATATCATCCACAAACCAAAACAAATGTGTGTAAAATGTTAATATTTCTTATGTTTTATGCAGTTTGAACAGTCTGAGGTCAAACTGACCCCAAAGAACACGGATGCATATAAAATGTGTGCAGAACACTGAAAACATATCATGTTAATTTTATCTTTACCCATTTTTTTCCCCATTAAAATAGAAAAAAAAATTTGACCCCAAATATAATAGGAGGGTTAAATCTAAATAAACAGAAGCAGAAACTCTTAGCTGGTCACATGGATCACCAAATCCAGTAAGGCTTTGTCGCTGTGTTGTACATTATTAATCTTGTATTTATTTATTTTTTAATATAGACTGAGCCATGGCGCAGGACAAAAGCGGCTATGTTCCAATAACTGACCACAGCCCACAGCAAGGCTCAGGCTTCGGCCAGCCCAGTCCACCTGGATTTGTCCTTCCTCCTCCGGATTACGCGGGGATGCCGATGGGTCCCGGGGCTCCTGGGGGGCTTCCCTTTCCACCTCCTGGTGCGTTCGGCCAGCCCATGTATGGCCAGGGTGGGCCAGGCTTTCCACAAGCACCTTTTCCACATGCGGCTCCCTACGGTCAGCCTTCCAACCAGAGACCCTACCAGTACGAGCCTAACGGTGAGTAACGTCCACTGAGCGATCACACTGGCTACGCTCACATAACCAGGTTGATCCGATTTTTTGCCCTAATGTGACTCAGATCTGATGTTTTCAGAGCTGTGTGGACAAAATCCGACCTGAGCCACTTTCATATGTGCTCCTAGATCGGATACATATCCGATTCGTGGCCATGCAGCCTTAATGTGATGCTCAGATCAGAATTCATGTGCTTTTTTTTTCACTGCGCGTGCGCCATCATTCAGCGTTACCATGGCAACAGCGCCGAACTGAAGTTAAACTCTGTAAACGGAAAAGCAGCTCATCTCACCTTTTTCTCCTTCGTCTCGCTCTAATAATGAAGCTGAGAGCTGATCAGAGTTAATGATCTTCTCAGCGAAGCTCGTTCTGCTCGTTAGTTTGTGCTGATGATGCAGAGATTCATTAACGTGACGTTACTGAGTAGGATGAGCTCATGAGGGTCATTTCAGGACACCGGTTCGTCACATTAATGATAGATTTGAATCACTTACCTAAACGAGCGTGAACCATCGTGTCAGAGAGATCGGATTTGAACAAAAAATCGGATTCGAGCAACGAGGCTTGTGATGTGAACGTAGCTTAGGTCAAGGATGCTTTTCCAGGCCTCGGCTGAGTTAAGGCAAGTTCAGACCTGCACGCTCTGATTTGGTCATGGTAAACTGTCAGGGACAGAAACTGCAAAGGAATTTTTCAGTCTCGAGATAAAATTTGCAGCCTTTGAACACTTAAAGCGACAGTATGACTAAAAAACAGTTACTCCCCTTAGTCCAAATGTAGTCGATCAGACATGTTTTGGTGTTCAGTTCTGAATTGTCGCACTTGTTCTTTAACTCAGATAAACAACAGAAACAGTCTTAAATTGTATGTATTAAGATAATAATAATAATAATAATAACAACAATATAATTCATGTACCTCTTATTTTTCTTGTTTATATTTTTTTGCATGCCATATTGTTACCCTCATTCTAAAGATGAAGTCCGGGTACACTTTTACACGTATTTGTTATTTCAGTCATGCTGGTGTTTTTTCAGATTTTCCAGTTTAGTTAAACAGGGAGTGACTTTAATTGGGCTCCCCAGTCCTGTCAGTGTCTCTGTAAGTTTGTACTTATCAGCAATATTTTCACTGATACAGATAAAATCACAGGTTGTTAGTATTGGTTAATAATGAGTGTGTTTACATGCATTTAATAATTCATTAACTGCAGAAAATCAGATTTTGTCAGTAATCTGATCAATGCCTTTTCATGCACCTGAGTAATCAGATAATGGGGGAAACTCCGGGTCTACATGATTCAGACAGTAATCAGATTTCTGCTTTGCAACCAGCCAATAAACTCACAGAAGATGACGAGACGTAAACGTAACGTAAAACTCAAACTTTAGGCCGCGGCTTGTTTTAATAAACTTTGCGCCACTTTACCTGAAAATATGAACAAACATCATCTAGAAGATGAAGAATATTTAAGTCCTTCATTTCGTAAAGCATGTAAAAAGTGTTTTGCTGCGTCTCGCGGCGACGCTGCTCACTTATTTCCGGTGCTGCCATCTGTTTTCGCTCATGCTCAGACTGAGAAACCCGAAAGAAAGAGTTCACAACACTGAGAAATCTGATTACAGTTAGTGAGTTAAATCCAGCCTCTTCATCAGATTTCTTAATTTGATTCCTAGACCTTACTCCTATCTAAGAAAGCAGAGTGTGCTGTTTACATGACCATTTGCATAATGAGATAACTGCAGAAATCTGATTATGATCGGATTATTGAGTGCATGTAAACGCACTCATTTTGGCTGATTTTGAGCTTGATTTTCATCGCAGGCGCAGTTTATTTATTCTGGTCATACATGGCAGAAGCTCAGTGACATCACCGTTCTGTTGATTATTTATATCGGCTGGTCGTCGGTTCAGGTCTGGTTCAAGCCAAGATGATTATTATTATTTTTTTTTAAGGTTTATGATTTTTGTCTATAGTTTTTCTCACCTATTTCCCCTATTTTGCTGTGTTTTTGTTGATTTATCACAATGCTTGCTTTAATGCTTTGTCTTTAATCTAGATTAACTCTAAGCACCTAGGGATGAGCAGTATGACAGTTTATCAGTGTTGTGATAAATTGTCACAGCACGCTTTTCTGAGCATATTGCGGATATCGTCAGTACTTAAAGAACACTGACTAACTACGTTTCATTACAATATGAGCACAATTAGGCCTGTTTAATTGGATTTAAAACAGTGCAGTTTGTGAAATATCGAGCCAAATCATTGTAATTGTAGGTTTATTATTATTATTAACATTATTATTATTGTTGTTGTTGTTATTATTATTATTATTATTATTGTTATTATTGTTTTCTACATGGCCCTACAGTTTCTATTTTGTCTATTGCCAACTTACTAAATCTCAACTAACAAGTATCAATTAAGTACAGTGATGCATTATGTGTATCATCTCTGCCGTATCACCCATCCCTCCAAGCAGCTACATCGTTTTATCAGATTATTTTTCCGTGCCTGAACAAGTTAGGTTTAAAATCATGCTTGGCAGTTGTTTGACACAAGACCTGGAGCGTAAATCACCGTCTCAGTATTGTGATCTGCCCCAGAGTTTGTCTGAGATGATTTTATTGCCATTCTCTCACAGTGTGACATGCAGTAAACCTATAAACCAGCTGCACAGTTCACAGCTGGCTTTAACCTTTCTGTTTTCTTAAAACAGATCCGATGAGCGATCCTTACCAAAGCAACGATCCTCCTCCGTCTTACGACAACGAGGACATCGTCATCTCAGGGCTGGACGACAAATCGATCAGACGAGCCTTCATTCGAAAGGTATGCATTTTGTACATAAAAAGTTTGCGTGGTGAAATGGTTCTTCAGACTGATGGATAATGGGCCGTAGATGGTTCTATGTAGAACATTCCATATAGCACCCAAAAGGGTTCTGCTATTGTTGCGATGTCAAGCTTGTAACAATAGAAGATCTCATTTTGGTGCTATATAGAATCCTTTTCTGTGTAGAACCATGTACAGTACACTTTCCATCAATCTCAAGAACCTTTTCATGATGCAAAGAACTCTTTAATCATGCAGAAGGTTCTTTGAACATTAGTGGTTCCATGTAGAACTGTTTTCTTTACTAGACCCTTGAAGAACCATCTTGTATAGAACCATTTCTGTTTAAAGGGTAAAAAAAATGGTTCTATTTAGCACCAAAATTGGTTCAGTTGTTACAGTGTCAAGCATCATGTACAAGCATAATATACAACACATTCTCCATCAATCTGAAGAACCTTTTCACGGTGCAAAGAACCCTTTAAGGATGAAATGGCTCTATACAGACCTCATGGTTCTTAATAGACCCATTGCCTGTACTAAAGAACCCCTGAAGAACCATCTTTTTTGAGAATGTAGCAGAGTAAAGTTTGAAGGCGCATCAGTCGGCGTGTCTAACAGACGGAGCAGTTTTAAACATAAACTCCAGGAAATCAGACGCTGCGGTTCTGAAATGAGACATGTTTTAAAGTAGTTTAGAGCTGTGGCTCATAAACAGCTTTGTGGTTAAAAATTTGGGTTTGAAAAAGGAAATACTGAAGTAGACACTTCCGTTCACTCAGTTCCTCGACTCTTTGAGGGCTCTTATACAACAGTAAGTTCCAGCCACGCAAGCTGATTGGTTGAGAAGCCTTTTTTTTCACAAACACTATCATTCCGCTGAGACGCTGTTGCTAAGCAATGACTGTCAGCTGTAGGAGACGCTCAAGCCATATGAACGTTTTTACTTCTTACTTTGCCACAAACAGGAAATGGAGACTTTCAAGATCACATTTGACCGACAGCCGATTTGGTCAGACTCTGAAGATGAGACGACACTAAATTCCCAAACTGTCATCACCACTGAGCAGCTTTTCAGTCGGCAGCTGTGACAGAAGAACAGCTGAACAACCTGGAATCAGCCAGAAATGAACCCAATACCATTCGCCAAACGTGTAGTCTGATCTTCAGAGTCTGACCAAATCAGACTGAGCCATAAAACTGCCGCAATATCAAGTTCAGCTCAGTTTTGTCAGTTTTTGCCAGATCAGTATTAATGTTGTTTTGTTCCAGCCAGTCTGTAAAGCATCTTACAGCCCATTTAGTTTGGCGAATGGTGTTGGGTTCATTTCTGGCTGATTCCAGGTTGTTCAGCTGTTCTTCTGTCACAGCTGCCGACTGAAAAGCTGCTCAGTGGTGATGACAGTTTGGGAATTTAGTGTAAAAAGCTGGAGAACGAACTGCCGGCTGTGCAGCGAGTGGGCGGAGCTCGTTACTCTGACGTAGCAACAAGCTGCGGCCCAGTTTATTTATTTCTTACTTTATTTATTTAACTGCTGTATAAAAGCAGTAGAACACTCGAGGAGTGTGTTATCGCCAATAACGTCACGGCTGTGATGATCTATGGCGACCAAATCACAGCCGTGATGTTATTTTGCGATACACACTTCCTCTGTGTTCTATTGCTTAAATCTAACAAATTTCGCTTGAGCTAGAACAGATTGGAACGACCCATTAAGGTGGAGTCGGGGACAGATAATGAGACCAAGCGGATGAAGGCCGCTTGAATCGTTAAACTGTTAATGGGGTTTTTCCTTTCAGAACACAAACATTGTGACTTGGGTGGTTCCCTCAAGGGAGCATGTTCAGTGTTTTTAGTTAGGAAACATTCCACTGCGCACAGAAGTAAATCACTGTGTACAAAACCTTGTATCTTCAAAACGGTAACTTTACAGGAAAAAGGTAAAACCACTATTAACATGTAATGGAAATTTTCTCCAAGTAATTTTGGACCATTTCTGTTGGCCTGTTTATCATGAAATTTTAACACAATGCAAAGAGTTAACTTTTTAAATTATTCAAAAAAAGATTATATGCACTTTTAATAAGATAAGATAATCCTTTATTAGTCCCACCACAGGGGAAATTCACAGTGCTACAGCAGCAAAGGAACAGCAAGGGTAACAAGAAGAGATTTAACAGAAAGAGTATTAACCTCATTAATTTCTTAATTATAAGGTGTCTTTAAAAAAAATGAAAAACTATTGTCTTTAAAACTCATTTAAGGTGCATAAATTTACATTGTGCCTTGGGAGGCAAAAATCTACAGTACAGTACCCGCTTTTCTCAACGATAGTACTTTTGAAATATACTGTATACTTAAAAAAACAGTGTTTGGATGTAGTTATGTTATGTCTGAGGTTTGGGGGAGGAGCATGGCTTAAACCCCTCCTTCTTTCAATCTAACTCCCTATAAATTCACATCCTCACCTTTACGCTCCCGTGACAGTGTTTGTGATCACCAAGTGGATCAGACACAGCAGTGCTGCTGGAGTTTTTAAACACTGTGTCCACTCACTGTCCACTCTATTACCTTGTTGGTCCACCTTGTAGATGTAAAGTGAGAGAGAGCAGCTCATGTGTGTCAGCATAGTTTGTGTTGGTCATCCTCTAGTCCATCATCAGTGGTCACAGGACACTGTTGGCTGGATATTTTTGGTTGGTGGACTATTCTCAGTCCAGCAGTGACACAGAGGTGTTTAAAAACTCTGCTGTGTCTGATCCACTCGCACCAGCGCAACACACCACCACCACGTCAGTGTTACTGCAGTGCTGAGAATGACCCACCACCCAAATAGTACCTGCTCTGTGAGGGTCCATGGGGGTCCTGACCACTGAAGAACAGGGTAAAAGGGGGCTAACAAAGTATCAGAGAAACAGATAGACTACAGTCTGTAACTGTAGAACTACAAAGTGCACCTATATAGTAAGTGGAGCTGATAAAATGGACAATGAGCATAGAAACAAGGAGGTGGTCAGAATGTTATGCCTGACCGGTGTAAGCTTTTTTGAGCAGTATATCAGCAGTACTTAAACCCTGACTAACTGCACAGTCAGTCCTGTTTAGTTGGATTGGGAATGCACCACAGTGAATGAAATACTGAACAGGAATCACTGTATTCATAGTTTCTAACATTACTGCTTTAAATCTGGGATTATTGTTCTGTTTTGTTCCAACTTATCAGACTTTAGGAAAACTGAGCATCGTTATTTGTAAGCTGCATTGTGAAAATATCTTCCTGTATAGTGAAATTAAGCCCACCACCAAATATTATCGTAACATAACTTTTTATAAGAGATTTTACCAAATGAGTCCCTCATTTAATTTGTGTTTTCTGTTTCTGTCCATTTTCAGGTCTTTCTCGTTCTGACGGCCCAGCTCCTCGTCACCTTCTCCTTCGTGGCTCTCTTCACCTTTGAGAAGAACGTCAAAAAATTTGTGCAACAGAACGTTTGGACGTATTACGTCTCCTATGCTGTTTTCCTCATCCCGCTCATCGCCATCAGCTGCTGTGGGGAATTCCGCCGTAAACACCCGTGGAACCTGGTGGCTCTGGTGAGATTCCAGTTGCAGATACTAGTTAGCCACACTAAAGAGGCTAACTTCAGACACCAGACATGTTGGCTGAGCGACTACATTTGTGGTAATCATAACTGAAAGCGTAAATTTGAACTTTATGGCCAAATTATTCCGTAATCTTATTCCCCAGGGTATATTTCGGTTTTTCCATCTGAATTTACAAGCCCAAGTCTTCAGGCAAATCATTCAGAAACTGCTTAAAATAAATGTAAAGTGTTGGTGTTTTTTGTAAAAGCTCCCCTCAAATTAACAGAACATGTGTTTTATGATCATAAACATAATACAGCATGCTTACAATTTACTGCTGAAAGCCAAAAATCTTAGACGCTCTTTGTATTATTTTATAAAAATCATTTTTACAGAGCAGATCACTGAAGAGACGCCATCTGTTTATAGTTTATAGCCCAGATTTGTGGAAAAATGGGTCGACTTTCAACAGAAAAAAACTTGAGTTCAGCTTCTTTTATTATAAGGGTTTAAAATTACATCACCCATCTATTTGACTGGAAAGAAGACAGTTACAGCTCTCATACGACCCCCACCTTTAGAATGTAGCTTATGAAATATGAAAGTTATGAAGAATATGACGAAGTGTGTTTTGGAACCACTGGAGTTAAAGAGGTTAAAACTACTGTAATATTTTGCGCTCATACCCTACATATAAAGTATTATAAGTAAATTGGCTAAATTAATTTAACAGACATCCTCATATTATTACATGAAAACAGTATTTAAATTAGAAGCATTTTTATATATGTGTTTTATCATACATGCTTCACTCTCAGGACTTTCACATTCATGTCAGTAAGCTCTTGTGCTGTGATGCATTGCACTTGTATTTTCATTCATTTTCTTGCACTACAATGAGAAACTTAATGAATTAAAGAAATAAACAAAAATAAACAAAAAAACTAAACTTTTAAACAAGTTTTATGAAGTTGTAACTGGTGAAATTGTCCTTATTGTAAATTTGCAGCTTTTTAAAGTTTTGCTTTCTGTTTATGACTCTGTTTCAGTCGATTCTGACTCTAAGCATGTCCTACATGACGGGGATGATCGCCAGCTTCTACGACACGGATACGGTCGTCATGGCCGTCGGCATTACTGTGGTGGTTTGCTTTACGGTGGTCCTCTTCTCTATGCAGGTCAGTGAGTGCTCCGAATCACCTCTCGCATTTTAAATAGGGGAATTAAAAAAAAAAAACTAGTGCACCGATCGAAAGTGCTAAAATTGTAGTTGATTATAGGAATAATCAGTATGGAATCTTTTTTTTTAAGCCAAAATAAAAGTTTGGTTGTTCGTGTTTCACTACTGTGTGAGCATTTTGTGTGGTCGGTGTATTTTTGAAAGTAGTTCAATCAGTCAGTGTTGAAATTAGTTTACTAGTTAAAGCGTATTTATTACCTGTGCATTGTCCTGTCTGTTTTCCCTCCAGACCAAATACGACTTCACCTCCTGCATGGGTGTGCTGTTTGTGTGTGTGATCGTGCTGTTCGTCTTCGGGATCCTCTGCATCTTCATCCGAAACAGGATCCTGGACATCGTTTATGCTTCACTGGGTGCCCTGGTCTTCACCTGCGTAAGAACTGACCCTAGACCTTATTTAGCTGTGCTTTCTTAACTCCAGATACACACCCTGCACAAGTGTGCAAAGGCAAATGACAACACTTGGATAGTGCACTGCAAATTTATGTGCTTGTTTTGTATATTTACGGGGGCCAGACGTGATCTTGTAACAACAACATCTGAGCACCACCGTGAGAAATTGTGGGCTAAATGTTGGGGGAACTTTGGCCTCTTTTCCACCGCAGGGCCAAATGGTTCTGGTTAACCGTTCCAGTGGCGTTTCCATGTGGACACGGTTTGAGATGGAACGCTTAAAAACCGGGCTCAGCATGTTATTTTTCCGCAGGGTTAGCTAACGGTACTCGGGGCCACAGAATTGCAACGTCGTTGCTTTTTGCAGATTGGTTCTATGTTTATGTCGGTATTGTGCCACTATATCCTGCTGCGCTATTTCAAACTTGAAAACAATCAAATAAGTTCAGTTCCTTCACACGGACGGCAAATAAATGAAATCAGTGCACGATTTTAAATCTACCATTTAATAAACGTCAGCGCTTCAATCTAACACCGCTTTCTACATATTAAACGATGCTGATAACCAGGAGAGAGTAACTGGTTAGTGTTAGTTTCACTAGCATGCTGCCAGCTCTGCTCACCACAGAACAGGTTTGATTCTGACTAACAAAAGCTTAACTGGCACAGATTTAGATGATAATGACTCAAATCTGAGGAAGCGAAGTCGAGTGTCTGATGTCAGAGGGACAGAAAGCCGAAAATAACCTGTTCTGGTGTTTGGAGCTGGAGCCCCCTAGCTAAGCTAGTGCTAACCAGTTCCTCTTTCCCAGCTGATAGATATTCAGGTCTTTTGCAGTGCGAACAATTTGGTGAAATTGAAATTCTATGATGTGAAAAAATTGTCTGAATATTTCACAAATTAGTTTATTCGTGTCATGTTCGGTGCAAATTGTGCATTAGATTGTGCTGAAATCGATTCATGTTTGTTTACTTGCGTGGGTTATGTATTCACTCTAATGAGATTTATTCTTTGCTGCTATCTGTGAATCATTGTTATTCATTTCGTTTGCAGTTTTTGGCCGTGGACACTCAGCTGCTCCTGGGAAATAAGCAGCTGTCTCTGAGCCCTGAGGAGTACATTTTCGCCGCACTCAACCTCTACCTGGACATCATCAACATCTTTTTGTACATCTTACAGATTGTCGGCAGAAGCCGTAACTAACGCAGGGGAGGAGAAGGTTGTGTATAAAGTTCTGTACAAGCCTTACAACATTCCTGGATAGTTGCTGTTCTAAACCCAGCACTCTGTGATTTAAGCCTGTTTGGTGGACCTGCTCTGTGAACACCCTTTTATCCTGAGCCTAAATCGTCTAATCCAAGCAAATGCAAAAATCTGAAGTTTCAAATCGTGCATAGCCTCCTTTAAGGGGTGGATCAGGTCACCAAACGGTCATCTTAAAATCAGAGTTTAAATGTTCCATTTCTCCAACTGTATCGCTGCTTTGACTGTAAATATAGATCATGCTAATACTGTTTTTCTTTCTCTATTTAGTTCATATCTGCTGTGATTTAGGTTTTCGAATCAGGTGAAAAGTGCAAGAAAAGTTATAATTAGATTAAAATGCTCTTCACTTCTGTTACTAATGTTTGGATAGTATGGTATGTTTCCTTAAACATATTTATGATTTATGTTATGCCTTATGGTTTGACTGACATTGTTTTAGTAATAAGTTGCACTGCTGTAGTTTTAGAAGGTTGATATTAATCTTTTGATTAGTTTCCAGCACTGTGTTCCACATAATGTAGAAGATGAGCTTTAATCTGCTAAAAAATGTGGAATAAACAGATTTTTTGGCACCTCCTCAGCCAAGTTTGTTCATGAGTTGTTTATTTTTTGATCGGAGATGTGTTTATAGTATTCGATTACGTCATTAAGAAGACCACGTCGCCAATTTGGAAGGCAAGCTGTAACCAGAGAACTTGTAGAGAGGAGAATTTCCACTCTGTCATGTCTTCCGGGTTTCTCAAACACTAGAGGGCGCTCCTGAGTGAGTCCAAAATGAACGGGTTAAGATAGAGTGAAATCATAGTTTATAAATGCTTAAACATTTTAATATAAAAGAATACAATCATTTCCTGAACACAGAACAGCATAAAACATTTTAACACTGCTGTTTTATTTTTAGGAGCTTTTAAACTCGAGTTATAGGAGTTTAAAGTGGCGTCTCATGTACGTTGATGACGCCAACCAATCAGCACTCAGTAGCAGTAATGTTAGCGTCCTGCTGCCCAAAACCCTGTTTACTGTAGAATAAAGGAAACATACAGGTGAGATTTCTTTGCTTTTTTAGTGAAATCCATCCTTCTACTGTCTAAACATTAAAGGAAAGTTCTGGGCGAGAGATTAGAAACTATTTTAACTTTTCGTTTTTAGTCGTTGAGCTTAATTTTCACCCGTTCATTGAGGACTCTCTCGTGGGCGCCCTCTGCTGTTTTGCAGTCCTGTTTTTGATATAACGGGCGAAATAGGAAGAGGCCAGGCTCCTCGTAAACTGGCTCTGCTGTAACTCTGACTGTGCTCTGATAGAGCTCGTCTCATCACCTTTACCAGAATGACCACTAAAAAGATTTAAAGACATGTAGACGCTTCTCCAGAAAACGCTACGAGGAGAAGATTAGCTAGATTGGCGGATCCGTATATCCTGCACATCTTAAGAGTTCAGAACATTCCAGTGCATGATATTTTATAAAAGTAATAAAAATGGCTACTAAAGCTGTCAAATCTCTTAAATAATAAACTCATACATAAATATTAAGCTCAAGTCAGCTTCTTATTCACCAGCTTCTCATTTGAATTTTCCGTTCCACCTTAAAAGGTGCTGCAGTTTCACTGAGGCACCTTAAACTTAGAACGAATTTCGTAGGTTGGAGAAAACGAAGCCGACATCGGCTTACCTCAAATACATTAATTTACCTCAACAAATACATCAATTTACACCAATAAAGGATATTTAATCATCAAATACCTCAGTTCTGCTTGGATATGTTTATCTGTTACTGAGCAGCTGACGAGCAGCACAGCGAAGCTAATCAGCCGTTGGAGCTGCTGATCGCGTCTCACTCACATCTAACGCCGCATCCCAAACCACACACTACTGTACTTCACCTACTGCGCTAATGAGTGCACTTCTAATGATATATGTGCCATTTTTTGTATATTATTTAGTGTGCTGGTATGCGGATTTGAACGTGAAAATAACGCAGCGGGAAATCTCAGCTGTTTAGATCGATTTAGATTAGGTTGTTGCAACAACAAATCAAAAGAAATCAAGTCAGTCCACTCAAACACACTGTATATAATGTGCTTTACAAATTTAAAAAGGGTTAATAACGTGTTTTTTCTGCCTTTGCTGGATCAGTTACAGCTTTATTATCTCACTACACACAGCCTGAAGTTGCCGTCCAAAATGGTGGCAGCGCAATTGTGACGTCATCAGAATACTATCAGTTCCCAAGTCGTTATGAACGGGGCCTTATGACGTCATGCCAACCAGTGTGACGTCACAACGGAACGTTCTGCAATGCCTTAAGTGACTCTCCGAAGCGAGCGCTTGTTCACAGCCCCCTTGTTTGTCGTCCCGATGGCCGAAGAGCAGAATAAAGACCCGCTGCGCGTTCAGAACGAAATGCTTCAGCGGGAGGTCGATGACCTCAGGAGCATGCTGAGCCTGATGAAGGAAAACATGGAGCTTCGCACCGAACTTCACAGCTTCTCATCGGCCATTGAGAGCGCAGGAACGTCGGGCGCAGCAGGTGAGTGTCAGATTGAGGCCTAAAGGTCTACAAAGTGAGCCGCTATTTCGGAAGTAAAAAGCGGGTGAGCTTATAATGAAGATCTGCCAGGACTTTAGTTATTTTATGCAGCCTGCAAGATGAACTGGATCTACCAGCTCAGAAAAAGTGCTGCACAACATACGATATTCAATATATCGAACAATCTGTTTTGTAGTCATTGTCCAAAAACAGCCCAGAAGAGCAACAGCAACAACTTAGGACATCCCAAAATGCAAAGAATTGTCCAAACAGTGGTCATCAAAGTTGAACTTACGATTACAGCTTTTTTTGGTCATTTATAAATTTTTTTTTTAAACGTTTCTTCAGTTTTGCAACAATGCACTGACCAAATGCATCATCGCCACCTCGACGTATGAAAGTGTGAATATACAATGAACATAATCAGTGCGTATAACTACGAATAACTAAATCTATGACAGAGTTTTTCCAGGATTTATTTATTTCTTCCTTTAAATCCATACAGTACAACAGAATAAGGGGAGCTTACATTCTACATATACACACTCCCATGCAAAAAAGGCCCAAAATGGCAAAAGCTTTTAATGGTCTTAACAACAAATTATCAGTTAGTAAAGGAGCAAAAATTAAACAAATAGATGCAGTGAGTTAGTGCAGGAGAGAATTTCCATTGATTTCTTTAAATATTGAAGTTTTATGTGTAATTTTTTTCAGTCCATCTTTTACAGAAAGAGGAGTCAGTATTGATCCCCTCAGCACTGACGGCTTCAAACAGCTGAAAAACAGTGCAGAGCTAGTTTGTGTTTAATGGCCAAATATTCTCTATAGGGTTTAAATCTGGACTCTGACCAGCCAAAACCATCAGTAAAAACCAGTATATTAATGTTATATAGAACCATGAACACTAAACGAACCCTTTGCATGATTAAAGCGTTCTTCAGATTGATGGTGAAAGTGCTGTAAAGCGCCACCGAAAATAGTTGCCAAATAGTTGTGTCTGATCCACTCGCACCAGCCCAACACACACTAACACACCACCACCACGTCAGTGTTACTGCAGTGCTGAGAATGATCCACCACCCAAATAGTACCTGCTCTGTGAGGGTCCATGGGGGTCCTGACCACTGAAGAACAGGATAAAAGGGGGCTAACAAAGTATCAGAGAAACAGATGGACTACAGTCTGTAACTGTAGAACTACAAAGTACATAGTAAGTGGAGCTGATAAAATGGACAATGAGTGTAGAAACAAGGAGGTGGACAATGAAGTGTCCGTTTGGTGTACACTATATACGTACTTCTATGACTTGGTTATTTATTTTTATTTAACAGAGAAATTCCTAAATAGCAAACATATCCTCTTATTTTGCAGGAGAATATGTCAAAGCCGCCCTCCTATAACAATTAGCAATGTTCTGAGGTCATTTAGTAGGGCAGCACCCCACCAACCAAACATGATGCCCTACTAAACAAACTTGTTCATGCTTCTATATATAAAAGTAAATATCTTGGTAAGAAACTCCACTTCCTCAGAATAGAAGGCCACATCAGTTAACACAGGAAGGGTCTGAATGCATCACTTTGTACTGGCTGTATGTTGTGAGAAGATAATTTCACAGACAGACTTCCTGATACTCCTCCTCCTGATACTCGAGTGAGCAAATGAGCACCATTATTTACCTTATTTTCCTGCTGTGTAGGTCTACAACCACCATTTCCACAACCATTAAGCTGCTATTAAACTAACTGTTGTCATTATCTGTCTAGTCTCTTTCCACAATGACAGCGATCCAGTGAGGAAAGCGAGGCTTCAGTTGCTCGACTCTGTGAACGAAAGCAAATTCATGAGCGGCCTCCTTAAAAACACTCATCGCACATCCTCTCCCCTCAGCCTGCCGACTGAGAAGGAGTCACCGAACACGACTCCGAATCCCAACAACCAGCTGCCAGACAGCTCCTTTTCCCACCAGAGAGTGGAAGGTTAGTTAACCCGGCTGGTTTGACCTAAGTTGACGTATACATTAGTTGTGCAAATGTACATACATATGAAAATCTGATATATGGCCATGTATGAACATTATAAAATAAGGCAATTTTCTGCAAATTTTAGTGCACAATTTTTCTTTATTTGCTAAGTTTTACATTAAAAAATGTGCCATAACTTTTGCACAGGCCACATTTCATATTTTTTATGTTCAATTCAGCAGATAAACTGTAATTGTGCCTTAAAATGTACAGAAAAAAAATCAACAGAAATAAATTTGACCAGGAGTATTCAAACTTTTGCACAAATCAAAATATAATAACATTGTCTTTACTTCTATTGCATGTGCCGGTAAATTAGAATTAGAATCTTGGAATTCAACGCAGGCTTAATAAGACAAATATACAAATACAAAACTAAAGCAATAAATACTGACTAACCTGCCCCCAGATCCTGAGCGACTGGTGGGAGAAATCGCCTTCCAGCTGGACCGAAGGATCCTGGCCTACATCTTCCAGAACCAGTCTAGACTGTACGGCTTCACTGTGGTCAACATCCCAGACAAGATAATACAGGTGAGGTGCAAGTCACTGTGTATGTGAGCTACTAGTACAGGTCATAGTACAGTTACACTGTTAGCATAAGTCAGATTTCACATGAGGTTTTAGTACAGGTCATAGTACAGGTGGGTTGCTAGTACATTTTGTAGTACATGTGATAGTACAGGTGAGTATGTAGTATATTTTATAGTACAGGTGAGCTGCTAGTGATGGTTATAGTACAGGTGAGTAGCTAGTATATGATACAGCACAGGTGAGCTGCTAGTACAGGTCATAGTACAAGTGAACAGATAGTACAGGTCATAGTACAGGGTAGTAGCTAGTATATGATACAGCACAGGTGAGCTGCTAGTACAGGTCATAGTACAAGTGAACAGATAGTACAGGTCATAGTACAGGGTAGTAGCTAGTATATGATACAGCACAGGTGAGCTGCTAGTACAGGTCATAGTACAAGTGAACAGATAGTACAGGTCACAGTACAGGTTAGTAGGTAGTATATGATACAGCACAGGTGAGCTGCTAGTACAGGTCATAGTACAAGTGAACAGATAGTACAGGTCATAGTACAGGGTAGCAGCTAGTATATGATACAGCACTGGTGAGCTGCTAGTACAGGTCATAGTACAAATGAACAGATAGTACAGGTCACAGTACAGGTTAGTAGGTAGTATATGTTAGTAGCTAGGTGAATAGCTAGTACAGGTATGCTGCTAGTACAGGTCATAGTACAAGTGAGTAGCTAGTACATGTTATAGTGCATGTGAGCTGTTTGTACAGGTCATAGTAGAGGTGAGCTGATAGTGCAGGTCATATTACAGCTTAGTAGCCAGTATATGCTGTAGTACAGGTGAGTAGCTAGTATATGTTATAGTACAGGTGAGCTGCTAGTACAAGTCATAATACAGGTGAGTATCTAGCGCAGGTTGTGGCAGGATATTACACAGCCTACAGCTTTGCAATAGGGAGTGTGCTGTAAACTGTCGAGATTAAAAGATGGAATCCCTTCCTTATTCGACAGGATTTTCCTGTTTTGTTCTGATGCAGTTCTCACCACAACAGCCAGCCTGAAAATGTCACAAGGGAAAAATGTCTGAGTTTCCTTTCTTTCAGTCCCTGTTTATAGACAGCAGTGTGTAATTTAGTGTCAGACACCACATTATCTATAGTCTATTAGAGATTACTGCTCAACCCCACACGGTTTGAGACCAGTGGGTGATTAGCTTTTAGCTGCAGCCTCAAAGGCACAGTAACAAAAACAGCCTATTTAATACTAAGGATCTAAAAATAGAATGGAAAATTGTCACGTAGCCATGAATTATGGGTCACACAAACATTATAAGTGGAAAAAGACAACATAATACACAAAATGTAGGATATGGGCCCTTTAAAGTAAATTAAAGGGGGTGTCCAGATACTTTTGGATGTATGGTGTATCTCGGCTGTCTTTAATCACTGCTGGTCTGTCTTTAATTTCCTTGACAGGTATCTACACACCCTCTTACAGGGCGAAGTGGACGAGGCATACAGGTGTGAGCTGACTGACCGTTATTTGGACTTGATGGACCGTCTGCGTTCGCTGGGCTACAGCCTGACCCTCCATCCGCCCTTCACAGAGTTCATTATCAACACGTACGGCATCCTGAAACAGCGGCCGGACACACAGACCGCCCGCCAGCTCGGCTATGATAACCCAGACCTCCTGCGGCGTGTGTTAGTGGACACTGTGCCGTCTGGCCTGCTGAAAGACCTGCTGCTGCTCTTCAGCTGCCTGTGCTACATGGCCCGGCGGGACAGACAAGCCTTACTGCTGTGGTAGCCACTTTAAACTCTGTGACGCCGGCCGTCTTGCTCCGCCAAGTAGGAACAATGCCACAATCATGGCCTACAAAAGGCTCACACACCCGCTCTACTCAATACACAAAAATGGAACATAAAGCAACTGTGACTCATTCGTTTGCCTTTTTCAGTTCTGTTTACTTTATGTATTAAGTTCAAATCTCTCAAGAAGGCCAGGCTTTCTGTGTAAGGTCAAGGGTCGGTAGGGGTGTAACGATATACATATGTTAATGTCTGATGCAATTTTTGAATCTGGAGTCAGGATTTGATTTGATTTTTGATATTTTCTGTGTTGAAAATGTCTAAATATCTTTTAAAGAGTTCTAAAAAGGTTCTTCTATTGTTACAAACTTAACCTCATAACAATAGAAGAACCCTTTTCAGAAAGGGTCTATATAGAACCATCTGCAGCACATTCTTCATCAATCTGAAGCATGCAAAAACCCTTTAATCATGCATAGGGTTCTTTGAATGTTCATGGTTTATATAGAACCATTTTCTTTACTAAAGAACCCGTGAAGAACCACTTTTTTAAAGAGTGTACTACATGAAAAATGCTAATTTAATTTAATTAATCCTGTTTGCATAAAAATAATGTGTGGTTATTATTACATGTGGCTGGTATTAACGCACAGGAACAAGATCCTAATGCGTGGCCACGACTTAGTGAGGCGTGGGAACAAGGTCCTAATGTGTGGCCACAACTTAATAAGGCATGGGAACGAGATAAGTCGTTGCCCAATTTCTTTATTAAAGAAATTAGATAATTAAGCCTTGAACACAGCTAAATAAGGCATGATCTCGTTCCCACACCTTACTAAGTTGTGGCCAAGCATTAGGTTCTCATTTCCATGACTTACTCAGTCGTTGTCATGACTTAAATATCTCATTCCCATGCCTTATTAAGTTGTGGCCAAATGTTAGGATCTCATTCCCATGCCTTACTAAGTCATGACCACGACTTAATTATCTCGTTCTCATGCCTTACTATGTTGTGGCCACGCATTAGGAATCTTATTTTCATGTCTTACTAAGTCGTGGCCATGACTTAATTATCTTGTTCCCACGCCTTACTAAGTTGCGGCCACACATTAGGATGTCATTCCCACGCCTTACTAAGTTGTGGCCACGACTTATCTTGTTCCCACGCCTAAGAAGTTATAGCCACGACTTAATCATCTTGTTTCCACACCTTACTTTGTCGTGGCCACACATTAGCATCTCGTTCCCATGCCTTACTAAGTCATAGCCATGACTTAATCATCTTGTTTCCACACCTTACTTAGTCATGACCACGTACTAGAATCTCATCCCCACAGCCTTACTAAGTCGTGGCCACACATTAGGATCTCATTCCCACGCCTTACTAAGTCGTGGCCACGCATTAGAATCTTGTTCCCACTCCTTACTAAATTGTGGCCACACATTAGGATCTCGTTCCCATGCCTTACTAAGTCGTGGCCACGCATTAGACTCTTGTTCCCACTCCTTACAAAGTTGTGGCCATGCATTAGGATCTCATTCCCATGCCTTACTAAGTTGTGGCCACACAGTAGGACCTCGTTCCTGTGCATTAATACTAGCCACATATAATAATAGCCACACATCACACATGTGCTTTACTAAGTTGTGGCCAAGCATTATTTTTATTCATACAGGATGTCATCAGCAGGGTTACGTACAAAACAGGAAAACAGAGCTAACAATACAAAAACAGATTCCCCGAAAGACAGTAAATGGGAGAAGGTGAGGAGTTTCAGCAGGACAGTTATACACAGTTATCATGCATTATTTCAATGCTTCAGTGAATCTGGTACACCCTATTGGTCAGTAATCCTTTTTGCTTCTGTGTTGTTTCATGGTCAGCCCAAGAACAGCAGAATAGCAGACCAGTTAAAAGGAGTCTGACTAAAAATTAAAAATCGAAGCATTACTACATCTGTTGTAAACATGCCTACTCACCACCTACAGTGGGGCCACAGCTTGTCTCCTGAGTGAGCTTTTCTGGTTTAAATACAAGGAAAACACCCTTCTGATGATGCGTCTTGAAGGTCTACTTCAGAGCGGGGTTGTTTTTTATAGCTGGCTAAAACAGAAGGAAGCCAGTTATTACTATTAAAGTTAGTTATTAACATTCTACGAACAGCTTTAGTAATTGAGCATTTTGGAAAGCTTATTTAAAGGCCAACTGATTTTTAAAAATTCCTGCATAACTAAATGGTTAATGTGTCATTCATTGGTTCGGTGGTGATAGGAACCAGACGTCCACCTCTAAAAGCTCCCTCACAGAAAGTTACTATATGAAATGGTTATGAATTCACTGCCTGGTGAATGAGACACTGTTTCACGGTAGTTTTGTGATAGAGGTAGGCCTAAAACATACTTTACTCAGTTTGTGTTCATGTATTCAGGTGGCGGGGTACATGAATGGTGTTCTAACGCAAAATAGTCCCCAGAGAAAACTTATTTCTTCAGATTTTCCACTATTTTCCATCATCAACATTCCATATAAACTCAGAAGACTCGTGTAGGTTCACTGGTGGTTCTGGATAGTAAATAAAATGTCTGTCTATATTTGTGTTGTAGTCATGGCGACTCCTGGTTCCCATCACCACCACTGTAAAGACATCTGAACCATTTCACACCAAACCACTCTGAATCTCTCTGTTTACATCTTAAGGACTGAATTATGCAGGAATTTGGGAAAAAAAAATGTTGGAAAACTCAATTTAGCTTCGTTTTTAATCGTGCTGAGGTGAGCAACGTGGCGCTTTTAGAAGCTGTGAGGGGCAAAAGTGTGTCAGATTAGCACAGCTAGCCTAGTTTCACCCCAGAAAGCCGCGGGAACGCGCAGAGGCTCCGATCGGGAACGCGCATGACCTAATAGTGCTGCTCGCGTGAGAGAGAGGGAGGGAGAGAGAGAGGGAGAGAGAGAGAGAGAGAGAGAGCGCTAAAGAAACACAGAGAGCGAGAGGGAAGATAGGGAGGTAAAACGAGAGGGAAAGAGGCAGAGAGGAAGAGAAGGGAAACGGAGAGAAAGAGAGGGAGAGAGACTTTAAATCAGAACGAGAGAGAAAAAGAAAGAGAGCGCACCCCCCCTCGCTCTGGTAGCTCGTTTATTTGCTGATAATTTAAATAAAGAGGAGATTAAAGCGGTTATCAGGCTCATTCTGCACACAGTAAGTCTTAGATATTAGCAGAATTGAGCTTATAGAGCAGAAATGAAGCTCGGAGTACATGAAACCAGGCTTCTTCAGTAAAGGTAAGTCCAGTAAGTCCACCGTGCTGAAGGTAAAGGTAAAGGTAAACTTCATTAGCCTGCTAGCTAACCTTAGCCACCCTGCTAACAAGATATCGGTTTATAACGTGGCGAGAAAAGACTGAAACCTCAGTAACGGTTGTAGAAATGAGCTATTTTAGCGGTTTACTCTGTTTTCCCTCCTCATCTGGAGTTAATCTTCTGCGGCCATTCATATTGTTAAGCTGGAGTCAGCTGCTTATTCGAATTTCCCGTTCCACCTTAAATGGTGCAGCAGTTACATTCGGGCGGCTGAGGCGCCCTAATGTAACTGCTGCACCGTTTAAGGTGGAACGGAACATTCCAACTTCAGCCTCGTCATGTGTTGCGCTGAAACCACTGACAGTTTATCCTACATGTATGAATGTATGCATTTCAGGCTGAATTTACATTTGTCGACGATATAATGTCATTTTTTTCCTTTTTAAATGTCATTTCTTTCTGTTCTGTTGGTGACAGCAAACAGCTGGACTGCTTTGCTGTTGTTTACACCTCTTTCTTTAGCTTTAACGTTTTATTTTATGGCCAAAAAAGTGAAGAATAGAGCCCAACAAGCTTCCTATGCTGACAGATGCTGGAATTCACTAAGCAGCTTCACTGCATTTCCATAGGGACCTTATTTCTTCTATTTTGGAGCATTTTGTTTCATTCCAGCATGTTTATACAGTTTTAGGCTGCCCACCTCTTGGAAACTCAGTAGTTTTCCTTTAGTCTTTAAATGCATTAGTTAATGCCATTATGAGATCAGTGCAACAACAGGTGCTGAGAGCAAGTGGCACATTTTCCACTGGAAAAAAAAAAAACAGTGCAGATACTGTTATTGACAGTTTTGTTATCTTTGGCTTGCTGATAGCAGCGAGGAAAGTTATCCAGATGGCCAGGACTGGATTACTATCCGCTGCGTGTATTCTTGCCCCGTCCTATGTTAATCTCGCCCGGACTGATAGCTTACGGGTGCTCCAGCTGGCGCGAGGCCCTGTCCAATATTTTTCTGAACCAAAAGCTTCTTTCCTTCCAAATGAAAGCAGACCTTCCCCTCTTGACCTTTCGCAGCTTATGTGTACGGCATTTACACAACTCATTACAATACTGTAAGCTTTGAAGCCCTAGCCTTTAAAACCTAATTTACACAGTATACGTCAAATTTAATCTCTAATAGTCTTGATAATTTGGTTTCTCACACTGTATGACACACTGCTATGCAGTAGTGGTGAGTGATATGCCGGTTCATCCGGTATACCGGTTGATATTCTTGTAAAACTGAGTTTTGTCATATGCTTGGTGGTAGTGGGGTGGGCAGTATGGCAATATATTATCATTATCATGATCAATTATGTCACAATGTGCTTCTCTGAGCAGCACTGCTTAATTACAAACATTAAAAATATAATCAAGCCTGTTTAACTGGATTTTGAGCAGAGCAGCACCTGAAACACTGAATGAAAATCACTGTACTCATAGTGTTTGGTACTATTTTGAACTTTATTTGTGACGCAACAGTTTTGACTTAATAAACTGTAGAAAAATGAAATGTGATAAACATAAATAACGTAGCGCACATATATTGTCACGTACGCAGCGTGTTTCATTCAAAATAACAGTTTTATGTGGAGCTGTTCATAGACAGAGCTGTCTGTGGAGGCTGTGTTTCACGTAGCATAGACCGAGTGTTTTCGTACAGTGTGAGTGTATAAATCATAGGCTGTGTTCGTACACAATGGATTATTCAAACATAAAATGTGAGTCACCAAAGAACAGGATTTATAGCTCCAAAATTACACATACAAAAAAAGTGTGCTTGTACTCGATCTAAAAAAAAGTGTGTATATATATATATGTTTTTCAGTTTTTGACATAATTTGAAAATTTACATTGTGTGTAAATTTTATTAAGAATGGCCCAAAAGTGACGTGGGAAAATGTCTGGTTCCATTGACTTACATTAAAGTAAAGTACGTTTTTTCCTTCTCCTGTAAAATTTTGGAGATACGAGGTTTTATTCTGACAGCAGCAATATATATATATATATACACACACATAGAAATGCACTATTCAGAGACGTATACCAAAACCTGAAGCAATTCTAATTATACCATGATATAAATTTTTAGCCGTACTGCCCACTATTACTATGCACGTTTGTCCTGCGTGCATTTCTCCCTTTTTATAGATAACTGTATGATCATGCACGTTAGAAACTAATAAGAAAGTCTTTTATAGATTACTCAACGCAGTGCTAATAAGTGGGATATAAGCTTCCATTACTTTTTAGCTATACAGCCTCAAAGCTCCAGTGCAAAACTAAAGAAGCTTAACTTCGGATGCAAAATGGCTCTTCGGTAAGGAGAAAACTGTAGATTTGAATTTTCTGTCATCTAAATTTATAGGCATGTATAGTATTTGAGGTTCATTTTGGCCTCTGTTCAGAGTGGGCAATATGACAGCATTTTTATTGTAAAATGACATCACATTATATTTTTCTGAGCATATCGTGGATATTTAACTGCACTGCTTCCTTACTGACTGAGCATAATTGGTCCTATTTAATTGGATTTAGTGACTGTGCGCAGCTTTTGATAGCATTTTGATAGCAAGTGTGGCCCTACGTGGCTTTTATATATGTGCTGACTTACCAAACCTCAGAAAAACAGAAATATTGCGATATGTATTGTGTATCATGAAAGTTTCTCTCAAGTATGGCAAGATATTCCTGTGGTATCTAGCCTGTGTTATAGGCAAACCCAGACACTGAGATGTTTTGCGCTTTGCAGGGTCATTGTTCGTCCACAGAACTCTCCGTGGGGGATATGAAATGAGCAGACTCTTTCACTGCGGCGTCTCTTTGCTGGAGGAATGTCTCTGAGAGAATCCCCTTTCCCGAATGGCTTTGCGGAGGCTCTCCACACTGTAGGATGGGGCCTCGTCTTCCCCTGCTTCTGGTTCCTGGACCGGCTCATTGCCGTGTGCATCTCCACCAGCCTGGAGCGTCATAGGAGACGGGAGGAAGAATGCTACCTCCATCCGCTCCAGGTGTTTTTTGGCTTCATCCTTTTTCTCTTCCTCTTCCTCATTTCAACACCTTTTGCCTTCCTGGGGTTCCTGCTTTGGGCTCCACTCCAGCTCACACGGCGGCCTTTCTCTTACCGCCACCAGGTGGCGACTGTCGAAATGGAAAATCGGAATGTGGGCTGGGAGGAGGCTGGGAGGGTGACTTTTGGGTTTGTCACTGCCAATCTGTGCCTACTGCCGGACGGATTGGCGCGGTTTAACAATCTGGGGCATTCCCAGAACCGGGCTCTGGCCATCGGCCAAAGCATCGTCCAGGGTGTTAACCGACCACACATACGCATATTAATCGACTCGCCCAGCAGCTCTGGAACCCTCAGCCCCTCAATCAGCCTCCTTCCTCAGTCCGCATCCACCTCATATGGAGCCACGGATGCTCAGGTGCAACCAGGTACAGCCGAACAGAGCGCAGACACGGTTTTGGACGGAGCGATTCCCAAAACGTCCACCGGGGGCGCCAGTGTCAATGTGGCCAGTGACCATATGAACCAGCAGCAGCCTGCAAAGTGGAACTGCAACCAGAACTCCAACCAGCAGGGCAGCCGAGGGCGCAGGAACCCCCCGAGAGCCTTACGGACGCTGGGCAAGGCTGGAGACACACCGCTGGAGGTGTCCATGCTGTTTCCAGCCAACGTGGACATTGTGTGCCTAGAAGAAGTGTTCGATAAAAGGGCGGCCAAAAAGCTAACTGAGGCTTTAGGGACGGTTTTCAGCCATATTTTGTACGACATCGGGGTCTACGCCTGCCAGCCCTGCGGGACCTGCTCCTCCTTTAAGTTCTTCAACAGCGGCCTGTTCCTGGCCAGCCGTTTCCCCGTGATGGAGGCGCAGTATCACTGCTTCCCCAATGGCCGAGGAGAGGACGCGCTGGCCTCCAAAGGGCTGCTCTGTGCTAAGGTAAAGGTTCGGATTAAGTTGACTGCATAATTAGATTCAGAGTGGTTTGGTGTGAAACGCTCTGTTCTAGAGAAACTTACCGAGTCAGAACTGTTCATAGTGGTGGTGATAGGAACCAGACGTCCACCTCTAAAAGCTCCCTCACAGAAAGTTACTACAGGAAATGGTTATGAATTCACTGCCTGATGCGTTTTGTGATACTTCTGAGAAGCTTTTGGCCTAAAATGTCCTGTTTAAAATCCATTTAGGGTGGTGCATACAAGGCAGAAGAGTGCAGGGGATGAACACAATCAGCCGTCGTCCTATTTATTATTTTGATTTTCTATAATCTGTGCTGCGGTTTTTCAGGTAAATAAGGTGAGGCAGGTCAATGCACAGCTGCTACACCTGCACCAAAATGCCCCAATTATACACGACTCTTTGTCCTGAATAGCCGTCACCTCTTGCTTTCACTGTAGCCCTTAATTCATGTAATAAAATAGCCAACTGATTTAAAACTGAAGCATTTGAAATGTTGACCTATTAAAGAGAACTGATGTTGTTTGTATTGAAAAGTACAAGAAATGTGCTAGAACGTTTCATGTGTTCATTGAGCTCACGCAGTGTGAGTTTCGGGTTAAATAAATAAATAAATAAATAAATAAAGGCTGGACTCCCGTGTGGTACCACCATCTAAGCGTAGGCCCTGTCATCAGGAGATCGGGTGAATAGCTGGATAGCCGGTGATGCTACAGCTGTCCGTGGCCAGGAGTCCAAGAGAGCACAGTTGTCCTCGCTCTCTCTGGGTGGGTAGAATGGCCCCTCATCTCCCCCCATCACTCAGCGCAGGCGTCTGTTAGCTGACATAACAGAACTGGCGGTTAGCGTTCTCCTCTGAGTGCATTCAGCGTTCACGCTGTGTTAGCAGTAGGGCTGAAAGATGAATCGATTAATCGTTTTTATATCAAAATCGCAATTTAACAGTGCAATTTTCAAATCGCGCGAGCTGCAGGTTATTTCTAATTAAAATAGCGTAATTATCAAAAAACATTGTCTTAAGTTTTAAGTGGGGAAGTTTAACCTAATAACACAGAGCTTGTGAACTGCCTCTAGATCAGCTAGACCAATCAGAGGCGACTAAACCTCCATGTGTTGTGACATCACTTACTGGATCCCTCACACATACATTCAGGGGTCAAATGTAAAGTCAGAAAAGGTGGGTACATATAAAAAAAAAAACAGGCCTGAACTTCAATTTATAAAAAATAATCGCAGTTTAAATCGTAGTTGCAATATTAGTCAGAAAGATTGCAATTAGGTCCCCAAATCATTCCCCATATCATTCAGCCCTAGTTAGCAGCAGTTCGAATGTGGTGTGGTGGTGCTTCACATGACTTAGGAGGAAGCCTGGGTTTGCCTTCACCCTCCTGTGGTGGCTAGATTTGAGTATGACTAAATAGGGAAGAACATTGGAACCACACCCCAAAATGAAAAACAATTAAAACTATAGATTTGAAAAACAATAGAAATGATAAACAGTTAAAACTATAGATTTCATAGGGAAAATCGTTAAATTAAAGATCACATTAGAAATTAGGACAGTTAAAAAATCTAATTGAAAAATACGAAAAAATAATAAAATAAAAAAAAAAAGTAAATAAAGTAAATAAAATGGTTGTATTTGCATTTTGCAGCCCCTGGTTCCCATCACCACCACTGTGAAGAAATCTGAACCAGTAAACAAACCACTCTGAATGACTCTGTTTACATCTCAACCACTTTATTAAGCAGAAATCGTCCAGTAGAACCGTCCCTCAACTCTTCTTCTATTGGACTGTGAATTTAATTGTGCCAGTTTTATTAGGTGTGTTTGAGCAGCAAAAACACTGAAATGTGCAGGACGTCGCTGATCCAACACACCTTATCCATCTAATTAATGCTAGAATAACCATCTGAGTGTCAGTATCAGGTGTCTCAAAACAAAGATTCTCAGTTTGGGCTCTGTGCACTGTAGTGTTAAAACTATAGACTATATACTTCACCGTGGTTTTAAAACGGAGTGTTTTCTTCACCAGCTGCAAATAGGATTACAGAAGGGAGAGAAGAAGATGGTTGGATTCTTTAACTGCACTCATCTTCACGCTCCAGAACGTAAGCAGTGTTTTATATTAGTCTCAAATAAACGTGAAGAGCTTGGTTCTTTTGCACGAGTATGGCTTTGCTTGTTCTGTTTTCTGGGGTTAGGTTTGTCTTTGGGAGTCTGATGTCTTTCCTCTAGAGATTGTAAGTATTTATCTGTTGTTATTTTTGTTTGGTTTATCAGGGGACGGAGAGATTCGCTCTGAGCAGCTGGACATGGTCACCCAGTGGATCACCGAGTTCCAAACGATGACCCGGCAGCAGGACGAGGTTGTGGTGTTTGATGTGCTCTGTGGGGACTTCAACTTTGACAACTGTTCTCCAGGTGTGTCCCACAGAAGAATGTGTCTGATTATTATTATTATTATTATTATTATTTTTTTATCATTAGGCATGCCCTCATACTGATTCAGATAGTATTCTTTAGTGCTCATGTGTCAAACACAAGGCCCGTGGGCCAGGTACAGGCCTGTAGCACAATCCTATCCAGCCTGCAAAATTTTCATTTTCTATTAACGTTAGCCCCTTTCGCAGTGTGCTGCACTACAATCCCCAGCATGCACTGCAATAGAAAGTGTGCTCCAACCCCCTCCCCCAACATCCATCCATCCATCCATCATCTAAACCGCTTATCCTTCTGGGTCGCGGTGGGGTGCTGGAGCCTATCCCAGCTGTCATTGGGTGGAAGGCCCCTCCCCCAGCAACAACTGAAAAAACACCTAGTTTGTAAAAAGTGAACAATGGGGATTTCAATACGGGTGGAGCTCGAATACCTTTTGACTTCCAGTATGTGCCTCGTGTGCGGAGATGGTGTGGCCGTAATGAAAGAATACCACATTAATTACCATTATGAAACAAAACACTGGAGAGTTGGATGAACAGCAGAGGCAACGGAAGAGTGGCAGTGATGAAGAAGGGCGTTCTCTGGCCCACAGAGATGTGGAGATTTTTTAGTACGGCCTTTTTAGCAGTTGAGTTTGACACCCCTGCCTTAGAGAACGATTCAATGCATCACATTTGATTCTTTTGCTATGATTCAGAATTATTTTTAATCTTTTTAACTCTGTGGAACCACCGGTGGTTCCAAAACGCACTTCGTCATATTCTTTACTTCATAACTTTAATATTTCATAAGCTACATTCTAAAGGTGGGGGTCGTATGAGAGCTGTAACTGTCTTCTTTCCAGTCAAATAGATGGGTAATGTAGTTTTAAACCCTGATAATAAAAGAAGCTGAACTCAAATTTTTTAGCCTACTGAAAGTCGACCCGTTTTTCCACAAATCTGGGCTATAAAGTGGATCTCAGATGGCGTCTCTTCAGTGATCTGCTCTGTAAAAATTATCTTTATAAAATAATACAAAGAATTTTGGATTTCAGCAGTAAATTGTAAGCATATAGCAAAATGTGTGATCAAAAAACACATTTTCTGTTATTTGAGGGGAGCTTTTACCAAAAAAAAACAAAAACAAAAATTTACATTTATTTCATGCAGTTACTGAATAATTTGCCTTACGATTTGGGCACGTAAATTCAGATGGAAACAAATGAAATATACCTACGAGCATTCAAATAATATTCCACTTTTTATATAATAGTGGAGTAAACTAATAATTGTGATTTTTAGAGCCCAAATGATACGTTGGTTGGCCAATAATAAGCGACCCTAATCCAAAACCAATGCAGTTGAAATGGCACATTTGATTTATCAGTTTTATTACAGTGTGTATTACTTATATTTTGTAATATATTGAGAGCCTGTTGCATTATATTGTATCTTATATATTGTATCTTTTGAGTGTTTGTGCATATTAACAAGGCTCATCTAGAATCCATAATTGATTATTGTTCATTGGTTATGTGGTGCGCTGAGAAGGCGTACATTTGCATGAACGTTCACACTGATTTGTAGGCAATGTAGATTATCATTATCTCAAATAGAGCACAATGGCTGTCTGTTGTTAGCGGCTCCACTCACGCACGTGTTGGATGCATGCTGTCTATTTGTTTATGCACATTGATGAATAGAAAACGCTGATGCTTTGTTTATAGATGCTGCTGTGTGGTTAATCCTGTGTCTTGTCTTACGTGTGTAGATGACAGACTGGAGCAGAATCACAGTCTGTTTAACGACTACAGAGATCCCTGCAGAGCTGGACCTGGAAAAGAGAAGCCTTGGGTTATAGGTATCAGCATTTACTCACACTAATCACAATGGAGAAATAGAGATGCACTTCTAAACCTTTTTTGTTGAGTTTGTCTTTTCCTCATAGTTGTTTAGGTTTCAAAGATTAGGTGTCAACCCTGGGGTGTGAAGAAAAAAAGATTTGACATGGAAAATCCCACCAACCGTCTACAGTGCAGCTGCGTTGATTTACAAGCGTCAATCTGGTTTGAACAAAGAAAGAAAAACATCTAAAAATCAATACAGTCGTTGCTAATCGACGCTCTCGACAGCCTGGTGCTTAAAGAGAGAGAGTGCTTAAAGCTTAAAGCTGCACTATGTAAGATTATTCAAACTGAAATAAGTGGAGTTACTGAGTCAGGACACAAAACAGCACAACCCGCGTTACACAGTGTTGTTCTGCATGTTGCTTGCAATTACACATTTCCACCAGAGAGGTCTCCAAATCCCCAAAACTTACATAGTGTAGCTTTAAGATACAACCCATAACACTGTTTATTACAGAGAGAGACGTCAGAGACAGAAATGTCTTTTCCAGTCTGCTTTCCTTAATTTTGCCTGATCTGTGGCCGTATGCTAGTCAGCTCTGCCCCTCTACTGAGTGAACCCCTGGGCTACAGATCAAGGAAAGCAGATAGGAAAGGCAAAAACTTTGGACTGCTCTGTTAGACTCTAAACGGATCCCTGTTGATAGTGCTGTCGAAGACAAAAACACAAAGAATCCTTTGATTTCGAGTCACAGTTGGTGATCATTTGAACATTTAATGTGACGGCTCCATGGCAACCGCTTTACTGCCTCTGGCTGTGTCCACATTACAGGCCTCGTTGCTCAATTCCGATTTTTTTTCTCTGGTCTGATCTTTCTGATTTAAATTGATGGTTCAGATATGTGTACATAGATCTGTCAATGAGGGCGTTTACATGCACTTAATAATCGGGTAAATGCAGAAAATCAGATTTTGTCAGCAATCCAATCAATGCGTTTACATGCACTTGAGTAATCAGATAATGGGGAAACTCTGGGTTTACGTGAGTCAGACTGTAATCAGATTTCTGCTTTACAATCAGCATATAAACTCACAGAAGAAGACGTGACGTAAACATAATGTAGAACATTAACTCTCTCTGTGTGAGCGGCAGGGTGGGCTGCAGTGTGATCTGACCTCCTTTATTGACTTCTCTGAAGACTTAACAGCACAAACTCACCCCATTGTTATTTTACTTGGTTTTAAAGCTGCACTATCTGTTTTTTTTTAATTGAAAGAAGTTTCACTGCGGAGTGCGTTTAGATGCACTTAATAATCCGATAACTGCAGGAAATCAGATTTTGTCAGTAATCCGATGAAAACATTTACATGCCTTTGAGTAATCAGATAATGGGGAAACTACGGGTCGACATGAGTCAGACAGTCATCAGATTTCTGCTTTGCAACCAGCCAATAAACTCACAGAAGAAGACATGATGTAAAACTCAAACTTCAGGCCGCAGCTTTTTTTTTTTTACATCATACCACTTTACCTGAAAATATGAACAAACATCATCTAGAAGATGAAGAATATTTAAATTCTTCATTTCATCAAGCAGGTATTTGGTTTCAGCATCACTCCAAAAGTGTTTTGCTGCGTCTCGGGAAAGAAATCAGAGTAAGAGTTCACATGCACTGAGAAATCTGATTACTGAGCTAAAATCCAGCCTCTTTATCAGATTTCTCAATCAGATTTCTAGGCCTTACTCTAATCGAAGAAATCAGAGTGTGCTGTTTACATGACCATTTGAATAATCAGATAACTGCAAGAATCCAATTATGATTGGATTATTGAGTGCACTCATTAATGTGAATGAACCTGCGTTCTGAAACGACCAGCGTGCGTACGTACTAATCAGTAACGCCACGTGAATGAATGAACCATGTGCCTCATGAACAACGAAAACAAACCAGTAGAACAAACCAAGATAAAGTGACCCAAATCTGATCTATTTCTTCATATGTGACACAGATGTGTGTCAGTGTGAACAGATAAACACTGAATATGTGGCTAAGCGACTGAATGGCCAGATCTGACTTCATGTGTCACATCTTTTGCGCCACTTTTACGTCAATCCAACTCGACATTCGTCATAATTTCGCACTGCTGAGACTCAAAAACATTTAGGCTGATGTTTTTGTACAAAAAATTAGAAAAGACTTATCGCAACCGCTCCGCACAGAGATTTCTGAAGAAATGTCCGAACGCGGCTGCAGGAGAACGAGGCTGCAGCGTCAGAGAACAGATAAAAGTTGGAAAGTAAAGTTTAAAGAATCCGAGGACGCGAACCAAAGAAGTGACCGCGCCCTTTTTACGGCTCGAACACATTCAGGGTGATGAGCCCAGCTGTCAGTCAGTGAAGCTTCATGATGGCTCCTGTGATGCTGGTGAAGATGAAGCTGATCCTCCGGGAGCGACTGGCGTTCATTGGCAGTCGTGATTGTTTACCTCTGGATGAGCCGTGAAGCAGCGTGACGCTCTGATCTTTTGTGCATGTGGCTCAGTTTAGGAGCTGATCTGTTCAGACTGATGTCGCATACAGATCACATTTAAAAGATAATCTGAACAGCCAAACAAAAAATCTGATTTGGTGAGAAAATCAGATTTGGGCCACTTTTACCTGCTGTGTGAACGTAGCCTAAGTAACACTTAAGGCACAAGAATTGGAGATATATCTAATCTAGGTCCACATATGAAAGCAGCTCAGGTCTGATTTGAAAAGATCAGATTTGTGTCACATCAGGGCAAAAAATCGGATTTGCGCTGCTTCAGTCTGGTAATGCGAATGCAGCTTCTGCGACCAAAGACAGTCTGTGATAAAGTTCTGGCAGTTTCAGAAACTTCGGTCCAGTGTAACTGCTGATACGACACGCCCAAAAATCATCCACTAAGAAGCGGCATGAAACGCTGTGTGCGAGAGGGAGAGAGAGATTAAATTAAGATAAAAACTTTATTCCTCGTAAGTTTAAGAATATAAGCTTATATTATTAGTTTGGCCCTCAGTTCACATACAGACTGACCTGCAGTGAAATAGCAGAGCTCGCTGCCGCATAGAGGGCAGAGAAATTAGCCTGCTGACCCCAAATTCACGTTGGAGAATGAGCATTATATGCCCCCCCCCACCCCCCGCAAAAAGAGCCGAGAACAGCTCCAGCCTCTCCGTCTTAATTTAATTCTTCATTTAATCTGTGTTTTTTCCAGACTGCGAGCGCCGCTGTTGTGTCGAGGGTTTTTTTTGCTTGCATTGCTCTGTTTTTCTTGCATGCACTCTTAAAAAAGATGGTGCTTCAAGGGTTCTTTGGTAAAGAAATGGTTCTATGTAGAACCATGAACACTCAGAGAACCCTTTGCATGATTAAATAGTTCTTTGCATCATGAAAGTGTTCTATAGATTGATAGATTGTTATGGCATCAAGCTTGTAACAATAGAAGAACCCCTTTGGGTGCTATATAGAACTGTCTATAGCACATTCATGCACACTTTCCACCAATCCGATGAACCATTTCATGATGCAAAGAACCATTTAATCATGCAAACCATTTTCTAAAAAGTTATATATAGAACCATCTACAGCACGTTCTCTATCAATCTATAGAACACTTTCATGATGCAAAGAACTATTTAATCATGCAAAGGGTTCTCTGAGTGTTCATGGTTCTATATAGATCAGTTTTCTTCACCGAAAAACCTTTAAAGAACCGTCTTTAACTGTGTAGTGGTTATACTATGCTCTTAGCAAAGAGGGTTCTATATAGTACTACAAAAGGGTTCTTTGGTTTGTAACAGTAGTGGAACCCTTTTTGGTGCTTATATAGAACCATTTTCATTTATAGCACATTCTCCATCAGTCTAAAGAATCATTTCATAATTTGAAGAACCCTTTAATCATGCAAAGAACCATAAACTATATGGTACTATAAAGAACCATTTTCTTTGCTAAAGAACCCTTGAAGTGCCATTCTCATTTTTATTACTGTTAAAAGTGTTTATAAAGACACGTTGTTGTGGTCCGAGTTAATCGTTTGGGTTTTTTGGCCACAATTTCGTACAGTTTTTACCGTTTTCTACTAAAATGTTTTAGTTGATTCTTATTTACTGCATTTGAAACTTTGATTCTGAGCTTCTGAACAGTGCAAGTCATTCTTCCTCCTCTCCGTCCTGCAGGCACCCTGCTGCAGCAGCCAACCCTGTACGACGAGAATGTGAAAACTCCAGATAATCTGCAGAGGTAACCCTGAGCAACGTGTTCCACCACATTCTTCACCTTTTCACAGATCACTGCTGAAACCTGCTTTAGCTTTCTGTCTTTACCGTAGGAGTGAGGGGTGGGAGGTGTGGCGGTATGACAGTGATGAGCACATGAGCACAAAGAGCTTAACTAACTCTTAGAAACTCAACAAAAGGCTGTTTTAGACTAAACTGCACCGCTGGCTGCTGCTTGAAGTCGCTCCTGCGTCAATCAGTGTGGTGTTTACTTTTCAGGGTTTCAGTTTGTACTCTTATTCTTCGCTCTGTTGGACAAAACAGGTTTAATGTAACTGAGAACGACAGAGAAGAACGAATCAGCTCCAGCAGCTAAACTTAACATGATAAACTTAACCTGGCAGGCCTGGAACCGCGGGCTGCCTTTGTTAGACACAGCAAACAGTGAAATATTATTTCACCAACATGCTGCAAAATGGAGTTGAGGATCAATTAAAAAAGTGAAAACAAACACGAGGAGGAGCACATCACACAGCTACGCTTCAAAAACAATAACCTAGCAAGTGAAAACACCTATACTGAAGTCAGTATATCTGATATTCATCATTATGAGATTGTCGTATGAATGTTTAAGATGATTTGATTCATTTCTAGACGTTTTTACTTGTTTTAAGTAATTTTATCGTATGAAAGTAGCAGATAATTTCACTTCTTTAAGCATTCATTTCTTGAAACGTGCACAATTATCTTTTTATAAAACCAGGTTTGATTTGCCAATGAAAAAAGACAGATAAAATGGCTTAAAGCCGGTAAAAGTGTATGGAAACAGTTCGAACAAGCTTAATATTTTTACAACAATCTCATAATAAGAAATATTAGCTGTATTCACTAAATTTAAGGTGGCTTCGTTTGCTAAGATATGATTTTTTAGACTGTAAAAACGGGTGACATGAGAACTGAAGAAGCTGCTAGGAGTATTTACACCATGAAGAATACTTTACAGTCGGAAACACAGTTTACAATGAACTTTGTATTCTTTTTTTATATTTAAAGGGCCTATAAAAATATAATAATAATAATAATAATAATAATAATAATTGCAACAGCACTAGTAATAGCAATAATAATAATTATATTATTATTATTTATGTGTTGTTTTGTTATTATTATTGCAGCTACTATAAATTGTTTCACTTTTGTGACATTGTGATTTCACATTGTTATTGTCTGAATAATAGAAAATACCGTGATATAAATTCGAGTTCATATCGTCCTCCCCTAGTAGGAACGCAATACCACTTCCTTTTGCTCAGAGAAATATCCAGGGTGCATTCAGATGGATTTGTGTCTCATGGATTTTGTGCAGTTTGTTTTTGTGCGGATGTGATTAGTCTCAGTACTGATGCCACACAAAGCTGCACTGGGCACAACCCTTTAACCATTCACAGTCTTGTTTACTGTGTGCTGTGAACACCTGACCAGTCACAGCTCCAGATGACTTAAAGTAGGTTTTTGATGAAACAGAGTGTGTAATCCAACAAAAATACTATACTATATATAAAAATACTAAAAAATGTATTTTGGCCAAAATAATGATCTTTAATTGTGTCGTATATTGATTTATGTGATTTTCCTGTATTAGGCGGTTCTCATTACACTGCGTCAAAATATGTCCATGAATATTTGAGTGCCATGAGCATCACGCATATAAAAATATTAATATAATTTAGTAAATCAGTTGTACAACAAAATTTTTTACAGTTTTTTTTTTTACCTGTTTTTGGCATTTTTAACCTAATTCTCAAAATGTCACTAAAATCAGTTTAAAATCAATGAAATCATTCAGTTTAATGTCAAGTTCAGTTCAGTTCAACTCGGCATCAATGTTTGTAAAATTTGAAGTTGTTATTATTTAATTTTTTTCAAGTTGGTTCCAGGTATTTGTCATTTTCCTGAGAATAGCTGTATTGCAAGGCACACCACAGTCATTACTCATGGCAGTGTAATCCTAATATTGGATTTTTTTGTCCATATAATGCAGCCCTACTGAATTTGGGTGATTTTCAGGTGATCTTTGCGACGTTATTTGTTATGTAGATCACAGGATCTGTGCAGTAACTGAATCACTAGACCACAAACCCACTTCCCTGTTTCACGGACAACAAGTTACATGATCATTAGTTGTAGATTGTTTACAACAGAGTGAAACTAACTTGGACAGTGACGTGGGAACCAGATGGAAGGATGTAATTTGACTGAAATTCAATATATGCTTTCACATTGACTTGTATCATTTGTTAACCCATATAATGTGTGTATATTTAGAAGCCTAGAGCTGTCATTGCTGTCATTTTGCTATACATGTCATTTACATTATATCACTGTCTGTAATTACATAGCTTTGTAATAAATTACAGTTATGTGATGAATTACGTTTTTATTTGATTTGCGTTTTATTGACAGTTTCCAGTCTGTACTTCTCACTTCTGCTTGTTTTAATGTTAGTTAAAAAATAAGAAACGAGAATCACAGAACTTCTCTGCTTGTTTTAATAAGATACAGTTCAGAAATAATTCATTCTGTTGTTGTTTCTGCAGGACGCTGGAGGATGAGGAGCTGCGTAAAGTGTATCTGGCCCCCCCAGTATCTCAGGGCAGTGAGCCTCTCGTGTATCCTGAACCTGGAGAGCCGTGGGTGGGCCGTCGCCTCGACTACCTCCTCTACAGAGAGAGCACCCTTACTGACCATTGCCGGACAGTAAGTTTCCAAACAGAGAGTAAACTCACGTATAAGCAAAATTGAGTGACTTATTTTTACCAGTGTTCATTTAATCATGAAATTTATAATCATATACGAAACCAAACTTCACTCAGTGTTTTTAGAGGTATAAATTTCAGTCTGTCAGCCGTCACATGCTTCTTTCATAACCCTTTCAGCTTTCGGTTTTGGTTGTCATGTGATTTGAGGTGGTGTCTTAAAACCATTATGGCAGCCTGTAAAATCTAGTTCAAGGCCTGTTATTCAGTATCTGAATTATTCAGTAACTACTATGAATTATTCAGTATCTTATATGCATTATTCAGTAACTACTTTGAATTATTCAGTACCTACTATGAATCATTCAGTATCTACTATGAATTATTCAGTATCTACTTTAAATTATTCAGTATCTACTATGAATTATTCAGTATCTACTATGAATTATTCAGTATCTACTATGAATTATTCAGTACCTACTATGAATCATTCAGTATCTACTATGAATTATTCAGTATCTACTTTAAATTATTCAGTATCTACTATGAATCATTCAGTATCTACTATGAATTATTCAGTATCTACTTTAAATTATTTAGTGTCTACTATGAATTATTCAGTAACCACTTTAAATTACTCAGTATTTACTATGAATCATTTAGTATCTGCTATGAATTATTCAGTAACTATTACGAATTATTATCCAGTAACTGCTGTAGGATGTACTTCATGGACTGAATTATTTATCATTAATTCACAGATAATATTCAGTGCTGCCTAGATTTGGGTCATTGTGATTTCTGGGAGAGTATATTTAATACAGTTTCTTCTTTCTGTCCTGTAGGAGGTGGAGGAGTTTACATATGTGACCCAGCTGGCTGGATTAACAGATCACATTCCTGTTGGCCTGAGACTCAACGTCACACTGTAAAACACTGAACACTACAGTTTTCCTGGGGAAAGACTGTTATTACAAACACTGGAGGACAAACTGAACACTGAATGCAACTTTTGGGCACAAAATGAAAACTTTTCTGTGCAGAAAAGAACCATTAGAAAACTCTAATTGCTAGATTTTTGTAAGAATACTTGATTGATTGACAGGGAATTCAAATCACTTTGATTCAAAACACATTGAGATTTTTTTTTATTAAAATATTTCCATGGTATGGATTCTACAGGATTACTTCGTCTATAATCCATAAGCAGCAGTTACCAACTGTACCTGAGTTTGTAATAACTGAAACGATTTTGTTACATTGATTTTTTTAATTTCATACCATCACATCAATTATTCTGGTAATGTATTTTAATAAAATGGCATAGACTTTTCAAGTGTGGTGTCATTATTTTTTCCATATTTGTTTTTTCTCAAATTAATGGCTTCCTTTTGAATACATTCAAATCATATGCAAAAGTGTTTCAGAAAATATGTTGAAATAGGAAATACTCATTTAAGATGTGATGTCACTGAACTGCTTAGATATAGATATACACATACATACATATATATAAATATATTCAGGGCGGCCCATCAGAGTAATCAACAGAATTCATACATATATATATATATATCCCTAATTCCAAAAAACTTGGAATGTAAGTAAAAACAGAATGCGATGATTTGCAAATCTCATAGACCCATATTTTATTCCCAATAGAACATAAAAAACATATCAGATGTTGAAAGTGAGACATTTCACCATTTCATGAAAAACATTAACTCATTTAGAACTTGATGGCAGCAACGCATCTCAAAAAAGTTGGGACAGGGGCAACAAAAGGCTGGAAAAGTAAGAGGTACTAATAAAAAACTGCTGGAGGAGTATTTTGAAACTAACTCACATGACTGAGTATAAAAAAAGCATTTTAGAGAGGCAAGAGTCTCAGAAGCAAAAATGGGTTCACCAAACTGCGTCTAAAAATTGTGGAACAATTTCAGAAAAATGTTCCTCAACGTAAAAAATTGCCAAGACTTTGGATTTCCCACCATCTACAGTACGTAACATCATCAAAAGATTCAGAGAATCTGGAGAAACCCCTGTACGCAAGGGACAAGGCCAACGATCAATATTGGATGCTCGTGATCTTCAGGCCCTCAGATGGCACTGCATTGAAAACAGGCATGATTCTGTACTGGAAATCACTGTATGGGTTCAGGAACACTTCCAGAAATCACTGTCTGTGAACACAGCTCGCTGTGCAATCTACAAATGCAAGCGAAAGCTGTATCATGCAAAGAAGAAACCATATATAAACAGGATCCAGAAACACCGCCAACTTCTCTGGGCCCAAGCTAATTTAAAATGGACCGAGGCAAAGTGGAAAAGTGTCCTGTGGTCAGATGAATCAAAATTTGAAATTCTTTTTGGAAATCATGGACACTGCATCCTCCAAAGTAAAGACCTCTCAGCTTGTTATTAGCACACAGTCCAAAAGCGGGCACCCATGATGGTATGAGGGGAGCATAAGTGCACATGGCATAGGTCTCTTGCATATTTGTCAAGGTACCATTAATGCTGAACGAAATATACAGCTTTTGGCAACATTTGCTGCCATCCAGACAACGGTCTTTCAGGGAAGGCCTTGCATATTTCAGCAAGACAGTGCTAAACCACATACTGCATCCATCACAACAGCATGGCTTCGCAGAAGAAGAGTCAGGGTGCTGAACTGACCTGCAGTCCAGACCTTTCACCAATAGAAAACATTTGGCGCATCATGAAATGAAAAATCCAGCAAAGAAGACCCAGGACTTGTGAGCAGCTAGAATCCTACATCAGACAAGATCAACATCTCCCAGAACTGCAGCAACTGCTCTCCTCACTATCCAGATGTTTACAGACTGTTGTTTAAAGAAGAGGGGATGCTA